AGCAGCACCGCGCTGGGGCTGACGCAGCCCCGACCCCGGAGCCAGCTGCTGACGCTGCTGCTGCTGAGGCTGCTGGGAGGAAAGGGGCTGCTGCTGCTGCTGAAGGTGCTGCTGACGCTGAGCCTGGTACCACGCCGCTGCTCCACCTAGCGGGGCCGACAGTACAGGAGGCGACTGACGAGCTCGAGGGTCGCTGCCACCAGCAGGTGCAGTGGAGTCACCGGCCGCTGCACGAGGGGTCTCTCCAGACGCTGCACTCCCACCACCGCCAGTCGCAACAGCACCCCCACTACCTCCGCTACCTCCGCCTCCACCTCCACCGGAACCACCTTTCTTGCCCCCCCTGCCGCGGGACCGCGACGCAGTCGTAACAGCAGCCGCAGTCGCGTCAGTAGCGGCAGTGGCAAGAGAGGCAGTGAAGGTGGGTAACTGCGGGACTGTGCACCCGTGGAAGAGTGGGGGGGATACAGTACCAGAGGCGGCAGCTACCGAACGAAGGTTGCTCTCGACATCCTTGAGTGCAGACTCAAGGACCTCGATAGTCAGCTCACTAGGGTGCTTCAGCAGAAGCGCGTCACGAACGGAGGCAAGGCGGTCAGGGAGGCTAGTGGCGATGAAATAGACAGTAATCGCCATGGGGGGAGGAAGCAGTGCAAGCTGTGCCTCAGTGCAAGCAGCGCGGTAACTAGCGTCAAGCGAGCGGAGGTGAGCGATCAAGTCAGCAGAGCGCTCAAACGAGGCAAGATCAGGAAACAGGAACGGGAGGAAAAGACGGCCGAGAGAGACAGTAGCGGGAGTAGAGTAGCGGGCCTTAATCGCAGTGAGGTACGCAGCAGCGGTGCGAACCTGAGTAAAGTGGACCTCCTCGGACTCAGGGAGGAGGCTGCTGAGTGCGATGCAGGCCGCAGCGTCACGCGACGTCCAAGCCGTCCGGTCAGCGCGCTGACGGGCAAAGCGAGCCGTAGCAGCATCGTCAGGAGCAGGGCCTAAAGCTGTAGGCTCGGGGGGCTCGGGGAGGTCACCAGTAGCGTGTGACCAGAGGGTCTCGCCCCCCTGGACCTGACTCTCTAACAGACGACGAGCGCGAAGAAGCCAGACGGAAAAGTCAAGGGGTCTACCGTCGGCGTCGAAACGAAGAACTCGCGGAGTCGCCATAGTGAGAACGAACAGGCGAGTAACAACCGGGGGGGGAAGAGGACTCAGTCGCAGCGGAAGAGTGGGCTAGGACGACGGGCCAAGACGTAGGGTAGGGCAACGGGCCAGGGCCTAGGGTAGGGCGACGGGCCAGGGCCTAGGAAGGGCGACAGGCCAGGGCCTAGGGAGGGCGACGCGACGGGGGAAAGGTCAGGGCGACGCGACGGGGCAGGGCGACGCAACGGGACAGGGCGACGCGACGGGGCAGGGCGGCGCGACGGAGCAGGGCGACGGGACAGGGCAGGGCGACGCGACGGGGTAGGGCGACGCGACGGGACAGGGCGACGGGACAGGGCAGGGCGACGCGACGGGACAGGGCAGGGCGACGCGACGGGACAGGGCGACGCGACGGGACAGGGCGACGGGACAGGGCGACGGGACAGGGCGACGGGACAGGGCGATGTGACGGGACAGGGCGACGGGACAGGGCGACGGGACAGGGCGACGTGACGGGACAGGGCGACGGGACGGGGGGGGGTAACAGGCAGGCGCGACGCGACGGGGGGAACGGGCGTGACGCGACGGGGGGGAACGGGCGCGACGCGACAGGGGGAACGGGCGTGACGCGACGGGGGGGGAACAGGCGTGACGCGACGGGGGAGATGACGCTAGGCTCGGTACTAGGCGCGGTAACTACGAAACTGGTACGAACGAGAGGTAGGATCAGGCTCGGGAGGTACGAACGGAGAACGGAGGAACGGGATCCCACAGGATCCTAACCTAGCTGATACCATGTCAGAATGAGGAATGAGTGTTGCATTGATGTTGGTTGGGGTACATATGACAAACCCTAACTTCTGTACCCCCTAAGACAAACCTCACTACAGGCTACAACATTTGACACCGTCTACTACTGACTCCCAGCATTTCCCTGCTGCTTGGTTTGTTTCTGCTGCTCAGCTTCCCCCTCCCTAAGCGTTTTCCGGGCATTCGTTCTTGCGATGTCCCGGCCGATTGCACGTAAAGCAGTGCCCTTTGAACGGTGCGGCAGCGGCATTTGCGGCGACATATCGTGGCGCCCTCGTTCGTCCCACGAGGCCGATGTCCCCAATGGCTGCTTCCGTAGGACCCCGGTCTCGGTCGGCGGAAGAAGTCGAGTTTCTCTGCCATAGCGAGAATTTCTTGAAAATCGGTGACGCCGCGAAGCTGGATTTCCTCAGCGATGTCTTGCTTCAGGCCGCCGATGTATCGGTCGATGCGCTCGCTCTCGTGCATATATCCCACGTGCTCGCATAGTACCAGAAATCCGCTCGTGCAATCTTGGACGGAACCGAGTTGACGCCAAGTGCGGAGCTTCTGTCGCGCCGCTATCGAAGCCACGATTGGCTCGAAACGAGCGCCCAGACCTGCGCACCACGCGTCCCACGTGCGATACTGGGGCACCTCCAGGAAATACGACGGCGCTCAGGGTCCGGTTTGTCCTTCCCGTGTCGGTAGAGTCGCGTAGTCCACCGGCTTCGTGACGATGACGCGCCACCAGTCCATGGCGGGTCCTCGCAGCAGCGACACGGCGTAGCGAATCTTCGCCGTATCCTCCAAGACGTAGTTCGCGTCGAAGAAGACGTTCAACGTGAAGAGCCACGCCTGAACGGTAGGACCACCCCGCTGACTTGGGTCAAAGAATGGCGGACGCTGCGGCTTAAGCGACATTGGCGACGGAAGAGTTGATTCGCCAGCCGGCACCGAAATCGTGACTCGAGGCTGAGTCCTGGCCGCTTCGTCGCGTCGGGGTGTGTCGTGCCGTGGTCGTCGTCTCCGTCATGGCGGACGACGCCATCACTTGCGGTGCTCGCGGGTTGCCCCACACTCCCGTGCTGTGATGTCTGTGGTGCGGGTTGAATCGGAGTGCCAGATGCTTGGGATTGTGCCCGTGTGAGGTCGTTCTGCAGGGACGAACGTTCTGCCGTGAGCGTCGCGATTTCCTCGGCGCTCTCGCGGATTTGTCGCACCAGATCGTTCAAGTGCTCCTGCGTAAGAGTCGTGGCGTCGATATGTTCAGCCATTTCGAAGGGCGTCGGCTCGTCTTAGTCTAGGTGCAGTCGTGGCTGCATGCGTTTACGAGAGAACGCGAGGACATCGGCTCCTAGGTGCTAAGGTACGTGAGTCCCTTCGAGTGAAAAATCAAAAGTTGATTTCCTTGGTTGCGGGGATGCGCGGTCCGAAATGGAAAGAGGCTCTGAATGCCAAGTGTTACGAGTGCAATGAATCGAAGTAGCGAGAATTGCACTAAGGTGTGAAACGAGTACAAAATGTGAGTGAAGGCATGAGCAAACATTTATACGCGAAGCATGCAAACGGTAACGCGACGCGTGCGAGCTAGCTGGCGCTATGCTGGAAACGAGGCTCGGGCTAGTCCTGAAGCGTAGGCCGATACGGCCAGGCCAGCAGTGCGAGGTTTGGTAAAACAGTGCGCGCGAAGTCGGCGAAGCCCCGTTAGCAGTAACGGGCGAACAACAACTGTTGCTGTACGCGATGTAGTCGGGCTCTGTAAGGAATGCCGAGAAAATTCCTTACAGGAATACAGCAATTGTCTAACTCTGTAGTAATCATCACACAACGAGCCTTCTACGACTGTGGATGCTCTGAGTATTTGTTTTTGTATAACGCCCTTGAACATTCTGTACTACCGGTACAAGCATGTGGTGATGAATATAGTTAATGAGTATCGTAATGTCAAGATCGTATTTCACTACACCGTGATACAGGCGCTTCCAATATTTTGTCCCTAGTTGGACATCATTCCAGGCGTTTTATTCTTTAACGGGCCAAAATCCTAGAGACGAATAGTGCTCACATTACACTAATCACCATACGCGAGACAAGGGCGTGTAAAATTGGAACGACCAAACGAATCGCAAATTCACTCGAGCCCAGAACCTCGAACCCTATCACTCCAAGGCCTGGTCAGCGTGGGCAGCAGCGACTCGCTTGAATACTGGACTAGAGACTCTAGACTACGCCAACCGCCAAAACGACTTCTCCGAGTCCCGAGGTGACCCGACCGAGCTCTGGGAGCGCTTGATTTGAAACACATTATCGAATTTCTCGACTGGGGATGGAGCTGATTTCTTCGGCGGAAGGCCGCTTCGTAACAGATGGCGTGGCGCAAAATCTGCGCGCGGATGGGCGCGCGCGGGAAGTCTTCCGCCCGTTCAGCCTAGACACTGGAGTTATCCCGCAGGTAGGGCCTGGGAGATTCTTTGCTCTTCGTTACGACGGCTGACGGCTGACGGCTGACGGCAGCTGATGGTTGACAGCAGACGGCTGAGGGTCGCGAGCTTGGTAATTATCCAGTTAATTTTCTCCAGTAGACGGCTGAGGGTCGTTCGGCTGATGTAGGGAAGGTAGCTCCGAGTACGCAGGCACGCACGCACGCAGGCTCCGACTCGCGCTGATTAGACGTCTCAAGAGTCGGTCTTCAATGCCCGCCTCCCCTACCGCCTCCCGCCTCTCGTCTGCCCCCTCCCGCTTCCTGCTCCCGCCCCTGCTCCTGCTCGTGTTACAGGCAACCGGCTCGGCGAGGCTGCGGCTCGGCGCCACTCACATACTGGCGTGCGTGAAGGTGCGTGCTGCTGTGCGGTGACCTTGGCACGGCGGTGGGGGACTGGGAGGGAAAAGAAAGGCAGCGGATGAGTGTTTGACGGGATCTGTTAGTCCAGCTCGACAGCGCATTTGGTGAGCAGTTAGAGAGCAGTTAGAGAATACTCGAAGTAGACATGAGTATGGTCCAGTTCAGAGCAACAAGGCGGTAGGTTGAACCGTTGCGTCGACTGTCTGTCTCGATCCACAGTTCACAAGATCCTTCCATGTGTCCGTCTGGCTCGACTCGACGCAACGAGTCAACAACACCATGTGCATGCATGCATGCACGTACCCCTTCTCTCAGTCCCACCATTCAACTCCTCCTCTGCAACGCCTCCTCACGTCACGCCCCTATTCTAACGCCCTCCCCCACATTCATCCACGTCCTCGTCCCTGCTCATCGCAACGTGACGTGCCGCTGTGCCGCCGTGGTCTGCCCCTCCCTGTGTGCGTATGAGCAGGCGGAGATAGGGTCACCGCCAGCAGGGCGGCCGTGGGGTGGGCGCATAGAGGTCTCCGTGGACTGCTCGCCCACTGCCACGCCTGCCTTCCGGGTATTCCACCTCCTGCTGCTGCTGCTGCTGCTGCTGCTGCTGCTGCTGCTGTTGGTTGTGCTGGTGCGGGTAATGGCAATGGTGATCGATAGTGATGGTGCCGCTGGTCCTTGTGCTCCCTTCCGCCCGTGTGCACATGGTCACTCACTCGCGAAGCGCAGCACCCTCCTACTCCGCCCCCTTTCCCCGCCATGGCAGGGCAGAGGAGGCGAGGAGCTGTCGCAGGAGCTGACTCGTGTTCTTGAGAGATCGTTTCTAGGAGGCGCAGACGGCTCAGGTGAGAGAGTCAAGTCGAGTTGAGATATAGAGGAGGGATGATGGAGGAGAGAGTGATGGAGGTGGAAGTTGGAGGAGGGATGATGTATGTAGGATGTTGCTTGGAGTCTGCTTTGGTGGGGTTGCCACTGCCGAATGCAACCTCCTTTTCTCAATCTTGTAAATCCACGTTCTTTAAACGTCTTTTTCCTTCCTGCCTCCTGCTACAACGCCCCGCCCCCCTCATTCCCTCCCCACCCTCTTCCCCCCGTTCCCCCCACCAACCCCCCCTCCTCTCCCCCCTTCCCTACCTCTTCGTATGCGCTTTCCACTCATGCCCCTTCTGCTCCATGCTCTCCCCCTTCTGCCCTACCCCCTCATGCCCTCACCCACTCCCCCCTCTTGGCGCCCTCCCTCACACCCTCCCCCGCACTCAATTCCTTGTTGACCAGGGGTGGCGGTGGAGCTGGGGCGGCTGATGCTGGTGACTTGTAAGACGCCAACTCCTTCCCCCTCGTGCCCTCACCCACTCCCCGCTCTTGTCGCCGTCCCTCACACCCACCCCCACGCTCAATTCCTTCCCCCATGACCAGGGGCGGGGGTGAAGCTAGGGCAGCTGATGCTGGTGACTTTGAAGACGTCTCAAAAGCCCTTATGCCCTCACCCACTCCCCCCTCTTGGCTCCCTCCCTCACACCCACCCCCATGTGCTATGCTACCCCTCCCGTCCTGCTGTGGCCAGGCGCGGCGGTGGAGCTGGGGCAGCTGATGCTGGTGGAGCAAAAGAGCTGCTGGGTGCTGTACCTGGACGCTCTAGTGCTCAACATGGACGGCAACCTCGTTGACGCTCTCTCCATCGCCTTCAAGGTTCCTCTCCTCTCCCCTCCTCTCCTCTCCATCCCCCCCTTTTCCTCCTCCTCATCTTCTGCACATGCTCCTCCTGCTTGCTCATCCTCTTTTTTCCATTCTCCATTTGCCACTTCCATCCTTTTCTCCTTCCTCCATCTTCCGTCCGTTCTTCAGCCTCCAGCCCACAGCATCTCTCCTCTCTCCGCTCAGTCTCCCTCTCACTGCATTTCGGTCACGAAGCTTACGCCACTTCACACCTGTCCCCACAACCACAACTGAAATCTTCCTTTCTCACCACCCCCACCTCCCTTCCCCTCTTTCCCCCCCTTCTCATCCCGTTGTTCTCAACAACGGCTTCTTTCCTGTCCCGCCCTTGTACCTCTTTCCCTGTAGTTTGCAATCGATTTTCAGAACCTCACAACAATATATAAACATCCGCACCGTGTCCTGTCTCCACCAGGCGGCGTTCAGCAACAGCATACTGCCGGATGTGGAGGTGAAAAGAGCCAATGTTATAGGCGACACAAAAGCTGTTGTCCTCCCTCCCATGTCTCTCTTGTTGTTCTGTGCCCTCCAGGCGGCGTTGAGCAACAGTGTGCTACCAAAGGTGGAGGTGGTGATGGGGGAGGGTGAGGACGGGGAGCCGGAGCTAGAGGTGGTGGATGACCCAGACGAGGGAGTGCCTCTTGACACCTCGTCCACGCCCATCATTGTCACTCTCAATAGAGTGCGTCTAGAAGCGCACACATATTGTTTTTCTTTAGGTGCCTTTTGTTTTTCAGGTGTGCTTACTTTTGGGCTGCTGACTTTAATTAGTTGCCTATTTTTGAGGTGCTGAGCTGTGCTGTGCTGTGTTCTGCTGTGTGGCGTGCAGTTGGGGAAGCATGTGATAGTGGATGCCACGCCAGAGGAGGAGGCAGTGGCAGAGGCATCACTATGTGTAGCTGTGAGGCCGGATGGGAGGATTGTGAGTGCCACCAAGGGGGGCAATGCAGGGGTGCACCCCTCAGTGCTCGCTGAGATGCTTGACACATCCAACCGCGTAGCCATGTCGTTACACCGCCAGGTCGATGCTGCCATGGCTGCTGCAGCAGGGCCGAGAAAAAACTGAAGGGAATGCGCAGGCTGCTGTTATTGATTGCAACACACGGTTGGGATGAGGTTGTATCTTAAAGGGCAGAACCCGAATTGCTCAACGGAAGTCAACGCTGGAAAATAGGTTTGGGAAAGCAGCGAAAATAGGTTCGGAAACCTCCCCTAAACCCTGCTAACCCGAAACCAGCAGGAGTGCTTCACAAACTGGCCCCACTTTGTGAAGGCTTCTTTGTAATTCGGGGGCTGGGCTTTAATGTAAGTGCATATTATGGCTCCTTCAAATGAGCAGCCAGGGTTTTGTCTTTTATTGTACATCCAAGATCCAAATCTTGACAAGAGTAGAGGCACATGAGTGTTTTGCCCCAATTCCCAGAAAACCCGTTGATTTCTAAACAATTTAGTAGCCCTTTTAAAACTACCCTCCCTTATGGAAGACAGGCAGATATAGAGATCTTCCCCAATCAAGTATTTTCACAGGCCCGCTCCGCAATAGTTTGGAAATGCATACTAATTGGGGTAGGAGAGTATAGCTTCAACATTTGATAAAGGAACCAGCCATCTCTTTTGTACCCTTGAGAATCCCTAAACGTGAAAACTTTGCTCAGGAGAAACCAGTATCTCACTTCCCTTCGATATTGCCATCTCCTCGAGTTTCCCCAGTAAACCCAGCCTCCACCAGCTTTCCCTAACACACCTACCAAGCCAAGTCAGCCCACCCCACCCCACCTCACCTCCCACAACCACGGACCCATCCACCCACTCACCCAATGCCTCGATTTCACCAAGCCAAGTCAGCCCACCCCACCCCACCTCACCTCCCACAACCACGGACCCATCCACCCACTCACCCAATGCCTCGATTTCTTCTTGCTTCCTCGATGTCATGCTAGTCATTCATAACCAGAGTGGCGTCTCACCATAGACGCTTGATCTAGGCTGAAGCTGACACGCTGCCGCCAGCACTATTGTCCGCTGCTCTCCAGGCGCATTGCATATCGAACGCATCTCGGGTAGGTTCGAGATCGACTGAAGCAGCTGGTCTCTGGCCTTCCGTCGCCCGTGAGACGTCTCTTGGTCAATTTCCTCTTCAAGCAACTCGCGAAGCGCTAGCCACTTGTCACCGATTTCTCGTCCTGTATTGAAAGATATTCTTCACGGAGCGTTTCCACAATGCGCGTCCTGATCGCGAAACGCGTTGTAAATCGCGTTACCCTCGCTTCCCTGGTCCGCCCCGCCAATGTCGCCTTTCTCCTCCTTTTCAGGTTATTATCGAATCAGATCTTTCGAGATCTTCTCGCTCGACGATCTACAACACCGTCGTTTGAATCTTCACGAGAGTCTTTCCCGTTGCGAGTCGTGTTCTGAGTCGTCTCGACACACCTGTCGCCATGTCCAGTATCGAGGTGGAATGGCGCTACTTGGCCAGAGACGCTCCTTTGGCCGCTCGCTATAATCACGCTCTCGCGGTTGTGGAACAAGATCAAGGGGACCCCAAGGTAAACATCATTTATGCAATGTGATGCTTTCCTTTCCTCTACCCTACCCTCCCTACCTCCCTCTGAAACCCCTCCCCACTCCTTCGGCCCATGATCTGTTCTTTTTGATTCGTTTCATACTTTAGTTCACGCGTTGAGATGATCGTTCCGAGCCAGGTATTTGGATCTAGCGTTGTTCGTTCGTTATGTCCGTTTGTCGTTCTCGCCTCTGGTAGATCTCACGTCGCAATGGGGTGGGGTGTATGCTTTTGACAACTTAATGCACCTTCTGCTGCACCTTCTTGATGCACCATCTTCTGTCATCATGTCGTGTCATGGCGCGTTCGTGTCATGGCATCTCGTCTCACGTCTCGTCATCACACATCGCATTTGCCAGGTGTACGCGGTGGGCGGGCAGAGCAAGGCAGCGCTGCCGCCAGATGCCTTCGTGGAGATCTTCCTTCGCGAGGGCGACGGGTGGACCATCGGATCGTCGCCGCCTATCGCCACTGCGGGCAAGACGCGTGTTGGTCACGCCACCGCAGGTGGGTGAAAGGCGACGATTTGCTGAGAGGGAGAAAAGCTGGGGTAAGGGCGAAGGGCCGAGGGGCGTGGGAAGGTTGCAGTGAGGCATGGGGTGGGGCGGATGGTGTGGTGTGGGAGGTTGGGGAATCGGGAAGCACGAGGAGCAGAAAGCATTGAGATGACATTCTGTGATGTGAACGTGACATGTGGAGTGGGGTTGTGTGAGTTTGTTGTGCCATTTGCTTCTCTTAGATCCGTCAAGTTCCCCCTCTCCCTCTGCACTGCCCTGTTCATCCCTGCATCCCGAAACAGTTATTGACAACACGATCTTCCTCGTGGGAGGCGAAAAGGAAGGCGTTCCTCAGGTGCGAGCCTGCATGCCATTACATGCCATTCCATCATGCCCGTCAACATCCTTTGTCCTTATCTCGCCAACGCCGACATGCCTTTCGTTTACTTGCCTCATGCCTTGCACATCTCACGTGTCGCGCATCTCATGCCTTTATTGAAACCCATGTTTGGCACCTCAGGTGTGGCATCTCTCTCCTCTCTTCCACTTCTCCCACCCCACCAGAACGATATTTTGGAGTTCCACACAGCGTCTGACACGTGGAAGACGTTTGAGGTGGCGGGCACAGCCCCTCCCCCCTTGGCCTTCCACACTGCTACGCCAGTCAACAAGCGCATTGTAATGCGCCCGCCCTCCCTACGTTGTCCTGTCCTCAACCCATGCTGGTGCTTTCTTGGAATATTTTCTGAGAGATCCGATAAATAGCGCCACTCTACGCAGCGGTTGTCAATCTGCACCAGTTCTTTCTTTCTTGTTTCTATCCTTGCCTCCACCTGTGCGCTTCATCTGTCACTTGTTCAGCTGTTTTTGCTTGTTCTTCTCATGCGGCCTCCTTCTCGTCCTTGGCTTCTCTATCTTCACAACTCCTCTCCCTCTCTCTGTCGATCCCTTCTTCCTCGTCCCCTCCCTTCCTCCCTCCCTTCGTCCCTCCCTCCCTCACTCTCTCTTCTCTCCGTCTCTCCGTCCCTCTGTTCGTCCCTCCGTCCGTCCGTCCGTCCGTCCGTCCGTCCGTCCGTCCCCCCCCCCCTCTCCCTCCCTCCCTCCCTCCCTCTCTCCCTCCCTGACTTCTCCCTTCCCTCGTCCCTCCACCTGTTTGTTTCTTCATTGCTGCGGCTCCTGTGGGAGTGCAGTATGTTATTGGAGGCAAGGGAGATAGTGCAGCAGCCACCGAAGTCTATTTATACGACCCCAAGTCCCGTGCCTGGTAAAGAAGTATACAATCTCCCAACATATCTGCTGGCTACCATATCTGTGTGCAAAAACAATAAATAACATTTCCAAACATTCTTCCCTCCTCAGCCGCACACACCCTTTCCTCTGCTGCTCGTCCTTTCTCCCTTCCAGCATCTTTGGTCTTCACTCCACTTCCCCCTTGCCCCCTGCCCTCCCGCCCCTTCCCCCTCTCCCCTCTCTCTCTCTTTCCCCCAACACCTCTCTCTTCCCCGAACCTTCCCCAAGGTCCAAGCCAGAAGTGCGTGGCACACCGCCTCCCGCGCGCTACGCGCATGCAGCCACACTCGTTGAGCCACTCCGCATCGCAATCTTCGGAGGCAAGCTCTCCGGCTCATCAGAGAACGCACCAGGCCAGGACCAGCAGCAGCAGCACCACAGGGCGTGCTCTGACCTCTGGCTTCTCCAAGTGGACGACTCCAAGCCAGACGCCATTACAGTTTCATGGGGGCAGGCGTCCTCTCAGCCGCCCGCCATGCCTGTGGTCATCTGCGGGCCCTCCGGCGTGGGCAAGGGGACACTGATCAATAGGCTGATGGAGGAGTTTCCTGGGAGGTGCGGGTTTTCCGTGAGCCACACGACGCGGGGGCCGCGGCCGGGGGAGGAAGACGGGGTGCATTATAACTTCACGACGCGCGAGGTGATGGAGAAGGAGATCGCGGAGGGGCGGTTTCTGGAGAAGGCGGACGTGCATGGGAACCTTTACGGGACGAGCGTGGCTGCTGTCAAGAAGGTCACGGATTCTGGCAAGGTGGGTGCGTGGTGGTGATAGTGATTTCAGAGTCCACTCGTGGCTGCTGTGAGGGGAAGCCACGGAGTTTGACAGGGTGGGTGGCGGTGGGGTTTGTTGAATGCTTGTACCGCGAGGGTGTTGCGGGTGTGGTGTGGGAATGTGCGTGGGTGGTGGGGAAGTGCAGTAGTGGGGAATGGGGTTACAGGGTACTGGGCTGTAGGGGTGGAGTGGGGGAAGGGAGTGAATGAGAAAAGGTTAGAAAGAAATGATGAGGTTCCAATCCTTTTGCCTCTTGTTACCATGCAAACCAACCCCAACCCTTGCTGCTCTCCCGTGTCCTTTCTACAGCCACAACCCGTAGCCCTTTTCCCCTCCCTCGCACCCTCTTCCCACCCACCAGATGTGTATACTGGACATTGACGTGCAGGGCGCACGGCAGGTGAAGGCATCCCCAGCGCTGGACGCTGTGTTCATCTTCGTGGCGCCTCCCTCCTTTGAGGAGCTGGAGCGACGGCTCAGAGGCAGGTGCGTGGCAGGGAGGGACGAGGGGGGAGTGAGTGGAAGGAGGGAGAGGAAAGGGGATAGTTCTTGGGATGGAGTGTGACTTGGGACATAATGGCTGTCAATGCGATGTGTTGTGGAATGTGTCCCTGCATAGCAATGGAGCAATGGCAATCTCTCTTGGCTTGCTGGCTGGAGCTGTGCTGCTTCAGGGCAGCTCAGCGGAGACGTGCCTTGGATATGTGGTAATAAGTTGTTCCTGCACATTCCTGTGCACTGTGCACGCACACTGGCGTGCCTATGTCTTCTCATGTGTGCATGTGTGCATGTGTGTGTGCATGTGTGGGCGAGCAGGGGCACGGAGACGGAGGAACAGGTGGAGAAGAGGCTAGGCAATGCGCGCAAGGAGATGGAGGCGGGCAAGGACGCCACACTCTTCAACCACACCATCATCAACGATAACCTTGATGCCGCCTATGCCAAGCTCAAGGTGCATTCCCTACCTCCCACTCAACCCAACCCAACCCCCTTTCCCCACGGGTTTATGAGGCGCCTCAAAAGGCAGGCAAGGACGCCACGCTCTTCAACCACACCATCATCAACAATAACCTCGATGCCGCCTATGCCAAACTCAAGGTCTGCTATCCACCTCTCCCCCCAACCCCCTGCCTACGGTTCTGTATGTTGTGGTGATGTGTGTTGTGTGTTGTGCTTTCTCGTGGTGTGATGTATCTCTTGTGACTCAAACGTCAACCCTGTACTTTCGGTTTCCTTAATGTGCGGCGCTTTTCGATAAGTTGTTGCTCACAACCCCCCACCCCTTTCTGTACCTCTCCACCCCTCGCCGTCCCATTTTCTCTCCCTCTCTGCTTTCCCCCTCCCATCGATGCACACCCACTCTTGCACACATACCTACTCCATCACGCACATCAACACACACACACACACACACCAATGCACACACATCAACACACCCACGCACACGTAAACACACCCACACACGCATCAACCACAGGCGCTGCTTGGGCTGGGGGCTGCAGCAGAGACGGTGTCAGGGGGTGCGGCCTGGCCTGCTCCTCGCTCCCATGCAGCAGCAGCAGCCGTGGCCTCTCGCATCATTCTCCACGGAGGCCTCTCGTCCCGCGGGGCTCCTCTCTCAGATCTGTACGCCTATCTACCTATCCCTTTTCTTTCCAGTGCTTTTTCTGTCCTTTTCTTCGCTGGACAGACAAACAAACCAGTCTGAATGTCTTTGCCGCCGTTGTTCGCTTTTATTCATCATGCATCAGCATTCGTCCCTCCTGCATACAACCTAGCACATTCCTTTCCCATAATTCCCATCCTAATCTGTTACCACTCCTCCCCCCTCCTCCCCCCTCCACCTCTGCCCTTTATAGTCACATCCTCGATCTGACAAACCTGTCTGGGGAGCCTCCAGCAGCAGCTACAGGGGTGCGTTGTGTCCCTACACACTCCATCCCCACGCCTGCCTCCCCTTCCCTCATCACCAACATCCTCACCACGCTCGGCCTCTCCGAGCCTCCTAACACGGCTGAGAGAATCCCGGCAAGGTTCGGGCACCGAGCCGTTGTGGTAGGCCCGGGAGAAGTGCTGTTTGTTGGTGGGGCTGCTTCGGAGGAAGGCTCGGCGACGGCGGGCCTGGCTGAGACGGCGTTGCTCGCACTGAAAGGGTTGACTGCTGTGCATTAAGGCATGTGTTTGGGAACGCTGAGGGCTTTTTTTTTATCAGAGGTTTCGAAGTTTTGACGGTGCCTGTCAGACAACTTTGGGGAGAAATGCGTGCACAGCTGTGGGTGAATGGAACTGCAGTGAAGGAGTGGGTGGGCCCCTGCCTGTCGGGACTGGGTGAGGTCAATGTGGACTAGCATTGAGGTTGAAAATGTGAATGGTGGATGGAGGGACCAATGTGGCGTAAAGTTGTGGCTAGGTTGGGACTCGGTGTTTGTCACCTGTGTAAGGACTGGAGTAGAGGTTATAATTATTAAGCTGGTGGATACAATGCAAATGCTGCAAGCAAGTATTAGATGACTGGTACAACTTCGTACAAGCAAGCAAACGTCTCATTTTGGAATGGGAAATCACTAAAAGACAAATATCTTTCAGATATAGATGGCTATATATGTATATATATGTATATATGTATACAAAAACAGTCATGTCTAATACTGACACACATGGCTAAAAGGGACCCAGCTACAATATACACGCAAAACCCCACTAACACAACACACCTCTGCACCTAGACTGTGCAGACTCCTTGGCGAATCCTGGTTTGGTCTGGCAGGCAAATTTTGGCGCCTGAGGGTATTTTATCGATGCACTCGTATCCGTTGATGCGCTTGTAGCACCCCCGAATGCCCCGGAAGTATTTGATCTGGATGAAGCTGCAGCGCTCACTCCCACTTGCTGTGAGCCCCTTGCTCTTTGGGCAGATCCCCACCGTGTACTCACCCGACACCTGTATGCACGCCTGCGATGGGATGGGACGCACATAACCAGAATGGGAGGCACATAACCAGAATGAGGGTGCGCGAGGGGAAAGAGTCACTCGCGGATGCGCTGTGCTGTGCTGTGCTGTGCTGTGCTGTGCTGCGCTGCGCTGTGCTGTGCGTGCATGATGCAAGGCCATACAGCACGGAATGCAGGCCTTGTTGCAACCCAGTAAGGCCACACATGAATGGAACACTTTTGAGGCACCTGTGCAAGCATCCACCATGCAAGACCTCCTCTCGTGCCTCCTCATGTTAACAAGTCTTCTTTGAGACGACCCCCCCCCCAAAAAAAATGGAAACCCTCGGGATCGTACCTCAAAGCCCGTGTGTGTAAGTCCAGGCCAGCAGGGGTTTCATTAAAACCATTATAGGAAAAGCGCCTGCTTATCAAGCCTCCTTATACCGTACCTCTTGTTTAAGATGTCTCAAAAACCGCCTGTAGTACCAAGCATCGCGTACCTCAAAGCCCGTGTGCAGGTCGAGGCCAGCAGCGTCCGGCACGAGGCGGTTGCACTTGATGCCGGGGTTGAGGCGGAAGAAGTCGAGCGGGGAGAGCGGTGGGGAGGGCACGCTGCGGATGGCATCGCACGTCTCGGCAGTCTGCACCAGGTAGTACTGCGAGCACACCGGTATCACCTGCCCCGCCTTCCCCGCCGCCCCTGCCCGCCGTTCCACACACACCGCCTGGTTCGGCTGCACGGAGCCGCCGTTGGAGCAGCTGAGCCCCGGGTTGAGGCTCTGGAATTCCGTAGTGCAGGAGAATGTGCCCCGGCAGTTGTTGAGGTTGAAGTACTGTCCTATGGAGTAGCATGTGTCGTCCTGGTGAGATGGGGATTCCATAGGGGGGGAATAAGTGGCTTCTGAGTCGACGGAATACTCAGTCGTTGAGGTTCAAGTACTTTTCTCCTATGGATGGACCGGCACGTGTTGTCCTGGTGAGATGGGAGGTTTATTGGAGGGGAAAGGGGCGGTGGTGACAGTGGATGGGAGAGGGTTGGTGGGAGAGAGGACAGGAAGGCAGGGAGACAGAGAGAGTTAGCATGCATTGAGGGTCATACAGGGTGTAGGTGTGGGATTGGTGATGGAAGGGGAGTGGTGGGGTTTGGAGGTTGGTATGCACTGGCTTGAGCTAACCGGGCCTGAGCCAAGCCGAGCCGAGCCGAGCCGAACCTCAAAAAGGGAGGACTGAGCAGCGTTGTGGTGAAGCAACACACGCATAAATAAACCTGTCCCCCTCCAACAGCAAACTTGTCCAGGGGGCGATGCAAACTTGCCTTGGACTCCCCATCATCACGCCTTTTGAGTCAACTCAAACGGCGCTTGGAAACCCGTTCACGCACCTATGCATGCATGTGTGTGAAAGACCTTACAGTCGACTTAAAGCCCAGCACGCGCTGCTTACCGGGCCAGTGGAGTAGTAGACGGAGCAGGGGGCGAGTCCGGACTTGGACACGACATTGAGCACCTGGCCTATGGGCAAGGGCTCGATACAGCTCACAGTGGGCTGCACCGGTACAGGCACAAGGGGGACAGAGAGGAAATGGGGGGAAGGGTAAAGAGTTTTTGACGTGTCAGGGATTGAGCAGAAGGAGATCGAGCATGAACCAAGCGACGCATCACATCACATGCAGTACATCACATGCAGTACATCACATGCAGTACATCACATGCAGTACATCACATGCAGTACATCACATGCAGTACATCACATGCAGTACATCACATGCAGTACATCACATGCAGTACATCACATGCAGTACATCACATGCAGTACATCACATGCAGTACATCACATGCAGTACATCACATGCAGTACATCACATGCAGTACATCACATGCAGTACATCACATGCAGTACATCACATGCAGTACATCACATGCAGTACATCACATCACATGGCAGAGATGGCTCCTGAGACGACTCACGCATCAACCAGGGTACATACAATGTAGTAGCAGCAGCGGCAGCAGCGGCAGTAGCGGCAGCAGCGGCAGCAGCAGCAGCGGCAGCAGCTCCAGCGGAGGCGGCGGCGGCAGCAGCAGCAGCACACTGTCTACCATTGACTCACATTGAGCTTGGAGAAGTCGTTACGGGTGAGGCCGTAGACGGGATAGATGTCTGAGCAGAAGATGTTGGGCGCCAGGACCGTGTACTGTGAGCGCGTGTCTCCTGCAGGGGGGGCGTTGCACAGCACGTTGGTTGCACCGCAGGTTGGTTGCACCGCAGGTTGGTTGCAGACCAGTAACAAAGAGAGAGAAACGAAGAGAGAGAAACGAAGAGCAAACACACCAAACAGGACACCACACCACGCGCCCTGCACCAAACATAGAATCGATTCCCTGCATGCACACACATTGCGTGTGTTGCACACAGAGCAGCAATGCAAAGGAGCTGGGGCGTGGCAGCAATGATCCAGCAACATGTCTCAACCAGCTGTTGAGTACCAAGTGAAACGACAGACATGAACAGGCACAAGGAGAAGGTACCTGGAGCACAGAAGAAGGTACCTGGAGCACAGAAGAAGGTACCTGGAGCACAGAAGAAGGTACCTGGAGCACAGGAGAAGGTGCCATCGACGGTGGTGCCCTGCCTGAAGCCCGGTGGACACACACACGAGTACGACCCCGCCCCGTCATTCACACACGTGCCCACCGCACACGGGTTGCGGGCCAACGCCCCACACATGTCCACTGCAGGGAAGCATAAAAGGAGAAGTATGTTAGGCTGCATAGGCTGGTAGTAGCTCATCTCACGTGCGTGGGGCATTGGCCCACACACTGTTGTTTGCTGTGCGGGCCAACGCCCAACACATGTCCACTGTGCGGATGGATCCGAGGCAAAATGGATCAATCAAGGCACAACGAGCCCATGAATGAACACAAGAAAATGAGAGAGTGGAAAACCAAGAATGGAAAGGTGACGGGAGACGGGAGACGGGAGACGGGAGACGGGAGATGGGAGATGGGAGATGGGAGATGGGAGATGGGAGATGGGAAATGGGAGATGGGAGATGGGAGATGGGAGATGGGAGATGGGAGATGGGAGATGGGAGATGGGAGATGGGAGATGGGAGATGGGAGATGGGAGATGGGAGATGGGAGATGGGAGATGGGAGATGGGAGACGGGAGATGGGAGATGGGAGATGGGAGATGGGAGATGGGAGACGGGAGACGGGAGACGGGAGATGGGAGATGGGAGATGGGAGATGGGAGATGGGAGATGGGAGACAAAAGCCACGTGCATCAAACCATAGGCGCAGGTACTGGAGCCATCATACCATAGGCGCAGGTGCGGGAGCCATCAGCATTGGTGGCTTCAATGAACCGGGGGTCGGTGCAGTTGCAGCGGTTGGAGCTGCCGTCCACCACACAGGCGAAGCTGCCGCACGGGTTGAAGAGCGACCCTGAGGCATCGCTCCTCGCTGCTGTGTTGCACGGGTCCGATACCGCTGGTGATTCGAGGACGAGGAGATGGGGGGGATGGGGGAGAAAGTGCAGTAGCGGAGGTGTGAGGAATATGAAATGTTTGTGTTGGCTTTTGTTTTTTTTTTTGTTTTTTGTTGGTTTTTTTTTTTTTTTTTTTTTTTAAATTTTAATTTTAACGCAAGGTTTTTACCTCAAACATGGATTGCTCAACAATGCGCTCGCGAACACACAAGCGCATACTGACCTCTGACAATTGGGTAAATTCCCGGCAGCGTGTTGATACCGCACACGCCATCCCCCCCCTGGATGTCCATGCGCATGTGGCCCCCATCGCCCCAGTCAGGCCCCCACGAGTTGCGGATGATCCAGTAAGGTGGCGCCATGTGGGGGAAGCGCGGGTCCTTCCCCACCAGGCGGTACCCCACCAGCAGCACCACGTGGTTCAGGTTGTACGTGAAGCACGCTGGGTCCTGGTACTTGGACAGCTGAGAAGTGCAGTGGGAATTGGAGTGTTTTTTTATTGTTGTGAAAAGCCAAAAGGCTGGAAACGTACCTTCATGGGCAACCACAAATAAGATAAGGTGCCTTCTAGCATTGGTGACTTTTGAGGCGCCTCAATAAGGTGCCTTCTGTTGTAATTTCATATTTCATACAACATACATAGGCTAGAAGTGTAGCACATTTACAAATTGGGGGGTTGCTTAGTGTACCCTCCTACCACATTTTGTGGTTGGTTGGGATTGGTCCTTAGCTCAACCAATCCCAACCAACACACATTTGTGGTTGCTTGGGTCACAAGCAAGCTCACCCATTGGCCAACTTATTGGCCAATAGGGTAAGCTTCCCTCTCATCTCTCTCTTGCTCATTGTTTGTACTAAAGAGCCTCTTGGCTCATTATTCAATGTATCAATTCTCTCTCTTCTAACATGGTATCATGAGCTAATGGCTCACGCCTACCTCCCTCGGTCCTTAGGCCACCCTCTCCTCCCCGTTCCTCAGATCTAGCCCCACCCTCAGATCTAGGGCCACCCTCTCCTCCCTTCACGCGCCCTTTAGGCGCTGTCCTCCCTCCCCGTGCGCCCCCTAAGGCGCTGCCCTCCAAGGCACGTCCAGATCTGCAACTCCAGCGCCCAGATCTGCACTCCCCGCGCTCAGATCTGCAACTCCAGCGCCCAGATCTGCACTCCCTGCGACCATATCTACTCCTCCCGCGCCTAGATCTGATCATTCCGCGCCCAGATCTGGATTCCGCGCCACCAGATCTCCTCCTCCCGCGCCCAGATCTGAACATTTCGCACCCAGATCTGCACTCCGCCCGCCCAGATCTGCACTCCGCCCGCCCAGATCTGCACTTCGCCCGCCCAGATCTGCACTCCGCCCGCCCAGATCTGCACTCCGCCCGCCCAGATCTGCACTCCGCCCGCCCAGATCCGCCCTCCGCGCGCTCAGATCTGCACTCCGCGCGACCAGATCTGCACTCCGCGCGACCAGATCTGCCCTCCGCGCGACCAGATCTGCCCTCCGCGCGACCAGATCTGCCCTCCGCGCGACCAGATCTGCACCTCCCGCGCTGAAATCTGACCATTTCGCGCCCATCTCTGCGCGTCCCGCTCGTTTGCCGCGGGCTGTCCCGCGTGCATTCGCCACGGGCTTCCCAGTCGCGCGGATCTGCCGCACGGCTGCCCTCTTCGTCCCCTCCCCCCCCTTTCTCTCCTCCTCCTCCCATCCTACCTGCAGCAGCACCACCAGCAGCACCTGCAGCGGCACCACCAGCAGCACCCTTCCCCCTTGCCTCCCCCATAGCATCGCCCTCCTCCTCCCCCCTCCTCCTCCTCCCATCCTACCTGCAGCAGCACCTGCAGCGGCACCACCAGCAGCACCCTTCCCCCTTGCCTCCCCCATAGCATCGCCCTCCTCCTCCACCCTCCTCCTCCTCCCATCCTACCTGCAGCAGCACCAGCAGCAGCACCTGCAGCGGCACCACCAGCAGCACCCTTCCCCCTTGCCTCCCCCATAGCATCGCCCTCCTTCCCCGCTCGCTGTCCCCCTCCCCTCGTCCGCCCCCTGCCCACCTCCCTGGCATACAACACATCTGCACGCGCATACAGCACATCTGACAGCACACATACCGCACACCTGACAGCACATACCGCACACCTGACAGCACAGACCGCACACCTGGGAGCACATACAGCACACCCGCCTACGCATACCGTCAGCTGCCTGCGCACACCTTCATGCCCTGCTCGCCTGCGCCATGCCGTGACCGCCCACACCCCACATTGCTTCCCCCATGGCAACAGTCGCGCTGGCATGCATCAGCAGTGGTGCTGGTGGGCATGGAAGAAGGCATAGTGGCAGCTGTGGTGGTGGTCAAGGGAGACTCGCAGGATATTGTGGTGTCAGGGGTTTGAGCGCAGGCTGCGGCGCAGCAGCAGCCTTCTCTCCTCGTGAATATGTGCCTCGCTATGGCCCGACTCGAGGACTTCAGTGTAAACTCTCCACCCAAGCCCACCATGCCCCGAGTCAACCCTTCTCTCTACTTCAGCCTCCTCCTCCTCCTCCTCCTCCTCCTCCTCCTCCTCCTCCTCCTCCTCCTCCTCCTCCTCCTCCTCCTCCTCCTCCTCCTCCTCCTCCTCCTCCTCCTCCTCCTCCTCCTCCTCCTCCTCCTCCTCCTCCTTCCCCCTCCTCCTCCTCCTCCTCCTCCTCCTCCTCCTCCTCCTCCTCCTCCTCCTCCTCCTCCTCCTCCTCCTCCTCCTCCTCCTCCTCCTCCTCCTCCTCCTCCTCCTCCTCCTCCTCCTCCTCCTCCGCAGCAACAGCAGCAGCAGTAGTAGCAGCAGCAGCAGCAGCAGCAGCAGCAGCAGCAGCAGCAGCAGCAGCAGCAGCAGCAGCAGCAGCAGCAGCAGCAGCAGCAACCGCAGCAACAGCAGCACCAGCAGCAGCTCTGGCACCTCCTCCTCCAGCTCCAGCAGTTGCTCCATCGCCTGCAGCAGCACCTTGACCTACAACCGCAGCTGCCTCTTCCTCCTCCTCCCCCAACTTCCCAGCAGAACTCAGTTCCGCATTGTTCCACAAGCTCCGCCACTTCAAGCATCGTCCCACCCTTCTCATCCGTTGGTATCGCTGGTATGGTCAATCAAGCCACATCAACTGCACCTGCCACATACTCCTCTAGCACTAACGAAACTGCGTTCCAGTCCTCTGTCCCTTCCTCCTCCCTCTCCTCCACTGTCGATTTTGTCCTCGACAGCGGCGCCACTGACACAGTTCTTCGCGATGCTGGCACCTTGCGCCCCCTCCCAGCGCCTACCTCCCTCCTTGGTGCCGACAGCAGCTTCTCTATCCCCTGCCATAACACCTCGACTCTCCCCTGCCCACTCTTCCCCTCAGGCACTGTCACCGGTCTCCACATACCCTCTCTTCGCGCTAATCTCCTTTCGCAAAGGTCCCTTCAGCAAGCCGGTATCACCACAGTATTCCCAGCTCATGCTAACTATTGCGCTCTCTACCATTCCGCCACCGGTCAGTTCCTTTCTCGCATTCCCTTTTGCCCTCGCTCCCGTCTGTACACCCTTCGGGTTCCTCGCCTCCCCTCCTGTCAGGTCATCTCTCGTCCCCCCCTCCACCCTCTCATCCCACCTCCTCCTCTCCCTCCCACTAACCCGGAACTCCTTTCCCGCCCCCCCCTTGACTCCTCTTGCTCCTGTCGCTCCCTCTCCCACCCTGCCGTCCTCCTCCATCACAGGCTAGGTCACCCTAACTTCGCTACTCTACGCTCCTCTGTTTCCACCGGTCTCCTCCACCGTCTCCCCTCCTCCCTCCCTCCCCTCCCCAAATCCCCTGCCCCCCCCTGCACCGTCTGCGTTCAGAGCAAGCTCAAGCAGCAGCCGCACCGGAGCTCCCCCTCCGCTGCTGCGCAGCCACTTGATCTTGTTCACATGGACCTCTGGGGCCCCAATCCCTCTCCCACTCGCCAGGGCCATCGATACCTCCTCGTACTCGTCGATGATCACAGTCGGTACTCGTCCGTCTCTCTCCTTCGAACGAAGGCAGATGCCCCGGCTGCGATCATCGCCTGGCTCGAGCGGGCAAATACCCATTTTGGGCGCCCTGTTCGCCGTCTTCACTCTGATGGTGGTGGTGAGTTCCTTAACAACCAAATATCCTCCTACTGTCAGTCTCATGGCATTCTTCAGACTTACACCCTCCCTCACTCCCCACAGCAGAACGGTGTGGCTGAAAGTCGTGTTCGAGAGATCACCAAAACTGCCCGGTGTCTTCTTGTCCACGCCTCCTGCCCTCCTTCTCTGTGGGGCTACGCCCTCCTTCATGCCGCCCTCCTTACTAACCTTTACCCTCACCATCTTCTCCCATCCACCACCCCCACTGAGCTGTGGACGAACAACAAACCTGATGTCTCGTCTCTTCGTGTCTGGGGCTCAAAGGCTTATGTTCTCCTTCACCCCACTGACCGCTCCCGCTCTATGGGAAAGCTTGCCCCTCGTACACTTCCCTGCATCTTTCTCGGTCATAACTCCTCCTCACCTGACTACCTTTTCCTCCATCCCCCCTCAGGTCGTCTATTCCGCAGTAGGGATGTGGTCTTTGATGAGTCCACTCCCTACTACTCCTCTCCCCCATCCACTGACCCACTCCCCCGTCTTCCCCGTCCCCTTGTCTGGTCTGACACCACCCCTCCCCCACTACTTCCTCCTCCCCCCATTCCTCCCTCCCCCCCCCCCACCGTCGTCCCACGGTGCCCCTCCCTCGTCTGGTGATATATTTGACCCGGAACCTCTGTCCTCTCCCGTCTCCCCCACACATTCCTCTTCTAGTGCCCCTCCCGCCCCTCCTTCACCTCCCTCGTCGCCGACTCGTCCTTCCCCCCCTCCCCGCACCGTACTTACCCGGTACCCCCATACCAGGTCACGTGACAGTATCCTTGGTGCACCGCCCCCTGTTACCCTCTCTACCTCTACCCTCCCCCCACTCTCCCCTCTCCTTCACCACTTCTTCCAGGCTGTTCTGCATCAACCTCCTCCTGCAGCAGCCCCCTCTGCCACCTCTCCAGCAGCGGCGCCAGCAGCAGCGTCCGCAACGGCACCCGCAGCGGCACCAGCAGCAGGACCAGCAGCGGCACATGCAGCAGGACCAGCAGCGGCACCAGCAGCGGGACCAGCAGCGGGACCAGCAGCGGCACCAGCAGCGGGACCAGCAGCGGCACTAGCAGCGGCACCAGCAGCGGCACCAGCAGCGGCACCAGCAGCGGCACCAGCAGCGGCACCAGCAGCGGCACCAGCAGCGGCACCAGCAGCGGCACCAGCAGCGGCACCAGCAGCGGCACCAGCAGCGGCACCAGCAGCGGCACCAGCAGCGGCACGTGCAGCGGCACGCGCAGCGGCACCAGCGGCACCAACGGTCATCCGCTCCTTCCACACCTCCCTCTCCGAGGACTCGCATGAGGAGTTCCTTGACCTCCACCTCTGTGACCCTTCCCTTCTACCCATCACCTTCGACCTTTCTGGGACACCAATATTCGCATTCTCCTCTGCTCCCTCCGTTTTCATCCCTACCACGTATGAGGAGGCCATGGCTTGCCCCGACGCCCCACTCTGGCTCGCCGCCATTATCAAGGAGCTGGAGGCCTTTGTCGCCAACTCCTCCTTCGTTGATGTGCCTCGCCCTCCCTCCTCAACGAACGTGGTGAAAGGGAAGTGGGTGTTTCGCGTCAAACAGCTGCCAGGGGAGCCGCCCGTCTATAAGGCTCGTTACTGTGCCAAGGGGTTCACGCAGCGGTATGGTTTTGACTTCTTCGATACCTTCTCTCCCACTGCCAAGCCTGCTACTGTTCGCGCAGTGCTCGACCTCGCCGCTCGCCTCAATATGGATCCACTCAATGGACGTCTCTAACGCTTTCCTCCAAGGCGTCCTCCGCGAGCTTATCTACATGGAGCGTCCAGCCGGTTTTCACCTTCCCTTCCCTGCAGACTCTGTCTGGCAGCTGCGTCGCCCTGTGTATAGGCTTCGACAGGCCCCGAGGGAGTGGCATGCTAAGCTTGCCGCCACCCTTGCTGAACTTGGGTTCCGCACCTCCCGCTCTGACGCCAGCCTCTTCCTCCGCACCTGCCCCCCCCGTTCTACATCCTTGTGTATGTCGATGACATGATTCTGCTCACTGCCGACCTTGGCGAATTGGAGCGTGTTAAGGCTGAGTTGGGCAGCCGTCTCAAATGCAAGGACTTGGGCGAGCTGCAGCATTACCTGGGCATGACCATCACCCGTGACCGCTCCGCCCGCACCATCTCTCTCTCCCAGGGTCATTACTTGCAGCAGGTCTTGGAGCGGTTTCACATGGTCCGCGGTGGCGCCCAACCTACTCCTCTTTCTGTCGGGCACCACCTCTCTCCACCCACCTCCCCCTCAGCCTCCTCCCATCCTTATCCCGAGCTCATCGGCTCCCTCATGTACGCCATGGTCTCCACTCGCCCTGACCTTGCCTACCCCATCAGCGTCCTCGCTCGTTTTGTTGGCGCAGGCAAGCATACGGAAGAGCACTGGCAGGCCGCCAAGCGTGTCCTTCGGTACCTTTGTGGCACCAAGGACTATGTCCTTACCCTTGGCGGTCCCTCCCCACCTCTTCTCAGCGGCTACAGTGACTCCTCCTGGGCTGATTCCCGGCCAGATCGTCGCTCCTCCCAGGGCTATGGCTTCTCTCTTGGCAGCGGCCTTATCAGCTGGCGCTCCACCCGCTCCTCGGCTGCAGCCCTCTCCTCCTGCGAGGCGGAATTGTATGCCGCCACCATGGCTGCGCAAGAGGCCCGCTGGCTCACCTTCCTTCTTGAGGAACTTGGTGCCCCCCAGCGCTGTCCCACAATTTGGTGTGACAATGTTAGTACCATTCACCTCACCAAAGATGCTGTGTTTCACGGGCGCTCCAAGCACATTGAGCTCCGTCATTTCTTCATTCGCGATCTTGTTCAGGCGGGGCACCTTCGCCTCGACAAGGTTGACTCGGCGGCCACCCTTGCCGACATCTTCACAAAAGCTCTTCCTCATGCCGCTCACTCTTTCCTACTTCGTCTTCTTGGCCTCACTCCTCCTAAGTCGCCTCCCGCCTCTTGATTCTAGCCTTCTAGCCTTATGCATGTTGGGGGGTTGTGTTGTAATTTCATATTTCATACAACATACATAGGCTAGAAGTGTAGCACATTTATAAATTGGGGGGTTGCTTAGTGTACCCTCCTACCACATTTTGTGGTTGGTTGGGTTGGGATTGGTCCTTAGCTCAACCAATCCCAACCAACACACATTTGTGGTTGCTTGGGTCACAAGCAAGCTCACCCATTGGCCAACTTATTGGCCAATAGGGTAAGCTTCCCTCTCATCTCTCTCTTGCTCATTGTTTGTACTAAAGAGCCTCTTGGCTCATTATTCAATGTATCAATTCTCTCTCTTCTAACACCTTCTAGCATTGGTGACTTTTGAGGCGCCTCAATAAGGTGCTTACTAGCATTGGTGACTTTTGAGGCGCCTCAATAAGGTGCCTTCTAGCATTGGTGACTTTTGAGGCGCCTCAATAAGGTGCCTTCTAGCATTGGTGCTTACATACAGAGAGAAAGAGAGAGGCATCGGGGGAAAGTGGCGAGCTGGGAGAGATTGAACGACAGTAACAAGAACCGAGCAGAGCTGAACCGCGCCGAACCAAACCGAATTGAACCGAATCGAATCAACTGTACACACTGCTCGCTCACCCCATCGTAATTCTGGAAAGATGGAGCCGTTGCCTCTATTTGCACCACCACTGGCTGGCGCTGCACGGCGAGCAGCAGGCCAAACCAGCCGTAGAAGGACGTGGACTCGAATCCCTTGATGTAGAAGTCGCCTGTCAGTGCCTGCTGCTGTTATGGCCGGAAGGGATGATACATTGACCATGCCATTCAAGAAGAGCAATGGACGATTAGCAGATGGATAGATGGGCTGAGGTGTTGAAAGAAAGCGCGTGACGAGGGCAGCTGTTGACTTTGTTGAGTATTAGAGACAGGAAGGGAAGAAAGGAGAGAAAACAGAACGAAAAAGATGGTGGAGGATATCAGGAGTATCAGGAGAAACCACATGACCAGGCAGGCATACCTTAGTGGCACCCTTCCCATCGCAGGTGATCCCAAGCAGTTTAAGGAGCGAAACAAACGGAGCCATGCAAAGCCGACTCCTCTCCTGCTTCGTGTTCGCAGTTGCCCCCCTCCAAACCAACGCCTTGCTGTGGCCCCCACCGTCGTTGAGATGCCTCCAAAGAAGTCGCCTCTCCTGTTGATTCACAGTGACATTCCTCCCCCGGACCACTGCCTTGCTGCGGGCAGCTTTGAGGAGGAAGGCGAAGGCCTGGGAGGGCGAGCCGCCCTGGCAGTCGGCGCGCATGGAGGAGCGCAGCTGCAGCGCTGACAGCTGCGGCGCCACCGAGAGGTTTGCCATTATGCTGTAGGCCGCCTCTATGCTGCCCACCACCGCATACGCCCAGCAGTCGCCTGGGGGCGACAGAATATGCAGAGGAGAGAGGGAAGGGGAAAAGGTGGAGTGAGAGGAGAGAGGGAGAGAAGTGTCAAACCATATGTATGTTTTGTATATGTAGTAAAAAGCTAGACTATGTAATTTTAGGGAAGATATGACTTGTATGTTTGTACCATCGACCTTACCTAGTGAACTTTTCACTCGACATGGTATCAGAGCTGTGTTTTGGAGTCTAATCGTGCGTCGTCAGATCAACTCTCTCTAGCTGTGAGGTTGAGCTCTACGCCGGTGCCACGGCTGCACACGAGTTGCGTTGACTCACCTTTCTGCTCGCCGACCTAGTTGAGCCACCTCGTACTCCGCAGTGTTCTTCGCTGACACTAGGGCCATGATCCTGTTGTGTCACGACCTTGATTGGTGGGGCATACGAAGCACGTTGAGCTGCGGTACTTTTTCTTGCGTGAGTTGCACCAGCGTGGCCAGGCACGCGTGGTTACAGTGACATCAGAACCAAGGCACTTCCGCCGTGCGACCATCAACAGTTATGGTCCTCACTCGGACTAGTGACTTGTGGTCCTCACTTGCTTGTGTCTTGGCCATTGTTGCTTGCTGTACCTTATATACATCTGTGCAAACACATGGACTGGCCATGTGGCCTTGTTCGTCTCAGAGGTTGGACTAGTAGTGCCGCCTTGAGTTTGCTTGTTGTTACTCAGAGAGCACCCCCTTGTCTAGCCTAGGGGGTGTGTCAAACTATATATTTGTACGCATGTTATATATATCTATTTATAGGCTAGACTATGTTATTACTTAGAGAGGATAGGACTCCTATGTTTGTACCCTCGACCTTACCCTAGTCAACTTTTCACTCGACAAGAAGGTGGTGTGAGAGGAGAGAGGGACAGAAGGTGGGGTGAGAGGAGAGAGGGAGAGATGGGCACATGCAGGCCAAGAAGAGGCAAATGAGATCAGCGTTTGAGAGAGGTAAGTGGAGAGAATGGAGGGCGAGAAAGGAAGAGAAGAAGAAAAAAATGAAAAAAATGAAAAAAGGAACGTGTCTGGGGGTTTCCGAAACTGAAATCCCCGTAGGCTTAAGCATTTGCCCTCAAAGTCCCGCGTTTGATGTGGGCGCACGCACCGCAGGCAGTCTGCGTCTTGACGGGCCAGAAGAGGTCCTGGAGGAGCCACGTGGATGTGACGCGCACTTCGTATTGGTTCCTGTGGTCGTTGCCCTCCTGCGGCGGCGGCAGGATGCCGGAGCTGGCGTAGCGGAAGAGCAGGTTCATGCCCGACGCTGCCGGGCTGATGGCCGCCTCGCTCACCCGCAGGCCTAGTGGCGCCGCTGTGATGTGATGTGAGGAAGGCATTTTCGGTGAGGGAAAGTGGATGCTGAGACCATGTGACTTGAGTGATGGCAGGAGAGGGCAGAAGCGAGAGAGGGGTTGCAAGAGAAAGAGAGAGACAGAGATTACCCCACAGCCTTATCTCAGTAGGACCGTGGCATTACGATGAAGGAAAATTTTGAAAGTGGGAGAGAGTGAGCAACACAGATGCTATTGGTTTTGCTAAGGCAAGGACGGATGCATGTGCGAGTGTGCATGCCGGAAAGGATACTTAGTACTTACCACCACGCTTAGTGGGTGATTGTGGAAAGCCTGCAAGGTGTAGGAGGGAGGAGGGAGGAGAGGAGAGGAAAAGGGAGGGGAGGGGACGGGAGGGGAGGGGGTGGGCGGACGGGATTGACTAGGAAAAAAAGCGCACAGAAAGTGACGGACACCAAAGTAGCAGCAACAGAGATCAGCTTAAGCTACAATTTTCTAGAACAGACGGAGCAGGATAAAGGACGGATGGAGAAAGATGGAGAAGGAAGGGAGGGAAGCAGCATGAGCTTTCTGTACAGGGTAGGCAGCATGAGGGAGTAAAAAATGCATGCCACTGACCATTTGACACACCCACACTCACGTGTGGTGAAGTTCCACGACGAGACGGCGTGCCTCTGCGCCTGGCTGCCCGATGCTGCAGTGAAGCCCACCGCAAACGTGCTCGCCAGGCGCGTGGGCTGGAGAACGTCACACAGGGACACGCGCGTTGACAGCAGCGGCTTGGACGGGCGCGGGGAGAGGCTGGAGGAGAGGAAGAGGCGCAGGGAACCAGCAGCAGCAGCAGCAGCGGCGGCAGCAGCAGTAGCTGCAGGAGCAGCGGCGTCAGCAGGAATGGAGGGGTCGTATTCGATCCAGGCGTACTTTGGAGTGCCGTCATTGAGCGGTGTGGGGGCAGCAGCTGTGGCAACAGACAACGCGCTGCCGTGCACGTTCATTCCGACGTGGTTCCCACCGGGTTCGCCGCCGCTGCCGCCGCCACCGGCGCCGCCGCCGCTGTTGTTTCTGCTTCTGCTGGTCCCGCTGCTGCCGCCACTGCCGCTGGCTCCCCCATCCTGCCACGTGTCAAACTCCACTGCCACGCTGCGAGCGGCCATTCCCGCGTACCCCATGCCGCCTGCCACGACCTCTGCTGGGGCCGTGGCATCAAAGGCCACCACAAAGGCAAACCCTTCAGAGCCGCCGGCCGCGGCAGAACGAGTGAGAGTGAAGGAGAAGGAGGAGGAGAAGGCAAGCTCGCGGCCGCACCCGTCAGCAATGAGCTGGTAGGAGAAGAGCGGCACCTTTTCCGACAGGAACACTGCTCCAGTCGTGCCCGCCTGCAGGGGCGTGAGAGTGAAGGACTTTGCCACCCCATCCACGCTCGCACTCCCAGTCGCAGTCAGCGCAGCCGGCACCTCCACAGGCTGGAGTGATATGAGCGCCGACCCACCCACCACAGGCACGCAGCTGCCCCTGTACTCCCCGATCTGAAACCCCTCGTAGCACTGGCACACCGGAACCTTGTTCGGGCCCTCCAGGAGGCATTCTCCGTGGCCGTTGCAGGGAGGGTCTGAGGCAGAGAGGCCGCAGAAGGACGAGCAGACCTCTGGAAGCCTCTGCTTGTCTCCCGGGCAGGTGAGCGAGGGGTCGGTCTGGGGGACGCAGTTGGCGCGGACGGAGACAACGGCGCAGTTGGGCGGGGAGGAGAAGCCCTGAGTGAAGAAGTTCTTGTCGAGCTGGTACTGCACGATGTTGGGTGGCGGGTCGGGCAGACGCCCTGTGAGCTGGTTGTCCCGCAGGTTGCTGGCAGCACGGTGGAGGGTTGGGGATTGGGGAGAAACGGAAAATAGAAGAAAAGCGGGATTAGAGAAATGGGGGATCAAAGAGGAAGGGTATTATAGAGCAGGGGGGGATTACTACGGGGATGAGGGGAAGTGAGGTTGCAGGCTGAATAATGGGTGGCTATGAGAGGAAGGAAGCAAGGCAGAAGAGGGAGTGGGAGAAAGTCAAGCACGACTCTGTAGGGTGCAGAAGGGGAGGCAGTGCACCATGCAGTTTTTTAGGCGCCACACTTCTGAGGACCTTTGAGGGGCCTCAAGGGGAGGAAGTGCACCATGCAGTGCAGACGGAGTGCGGTAGAGGACAGGTATTAGAAGCGCAGGGCGAGTACGAGAGGACGGGATGGGATGGCATACATGACTGTGAGCTTGACAAGGCCTGTGAAGGTTTCGGGAATCTCTCCGCTGAGGCGGTTGCCACTCAGGTCCCTGACACGCAGCAGCAGTAGTAGCAGCAGCGATGGCGGCGGCAGCGGCGGCAGTTGAAAGTAAGGGAGGGAGGGACGGAGAGGGTGGAGAGAGAGGGAAATAGGGGCGAGAGAGAATGGGAAGAACGAATTAGTGAGTGCATTAAAGGAGGTGAGGGTAAGAGAAGGAGAGGAGATGAGAAGAGAGGAGAGAAGAGGAGAGGAGAGGAGAGGAGAGGAGAGGAGAGGAGAGGAGAGGAGAGGAGAGGAGAGGAGAGGAGAGGAGAGGAGAGGAGAGGAGAGGAGGGAAGAGGAGAGGAGAGGAGAAAATTGCTAGGACGAAGTTGATGGTGTCAGATTGACGAGGAGGTAATGAAAATGCTAGGGGCAATCGGATGGGAACAGAGAAATTGCAGATGGATGGGTGAGGCGGGAGGTGGGTTACAGATTGATGTGTTGGGGAAAAAAATGGATAGGGGCAATCTACAAATTGCAGATGGATGGGTGAAGACCGAGGGACGGAGGGAACTTTTGAGTCGACTCAAAAGATGGATGGGTGAAGACCGAGGGACGGAGGGAACTTTTGAGTCGACTCAAAAGATGGATGGGTGAAGACCGAGGGACGGAGGGAACTTTTGAGTCGACTCAAAAGATGGATGGGTGAAGACCGAGGGACGGAGGGAACTTTTGAGTCGACTCAAAAGATGGATGGGTGAAGACCGAGGGACGGAGGGAACTTTTGAGTCGACTCAAAAGATGGATGGGTGAAGACCGAGGGACGGAGGGAACTTTTGAGTCGACTCAAAAGATGGATGGGTGAAGACCGAGGGACGGAGGGAAGGAAAGGAGAGACGAGGAGTTGAAAAGGGGAGGGGGGTGGGGAAGCAACAAGCAGCAATGGTTACTTACAGGTGCTCGAGCAGCAACAGTTACTTACAGGTGCTCGAGCAGCAACAGGTACTTACAGGTGCTCGAGCAGCAACAGTTACTTACAGGTGCTCGAGCAGCAACAGTTACTTACAGGTGCTCGAGCAGCAACAGGTACTTACAGGTGCTCGAGCGGCAACAGTTACTTACAGGTGCTCGAGCAGCAACAGTTACTTACAGGTGCTCGAGCAGCAACAGTTACTTACAGGTGCTCGAGCAGCAACAGTTACTTACAGGTGCTCGAGCAGCAACAGTTACTTACAGGTGCTCGAGCAGCAACAGTTACTCACAAGTGCTCGAGCAGCAACAGTTACTTACAGGTGCTCGAGCAGCAACAGTTACTTACAGGTGCTCGAGCAGCAGGAGGCCGCCAATGGTTTGTGGAATGGTGCCTGTGAAGTTGTTGTCTGCTAGACGACTGTGAGGATGGGCGAGCAGGGAAGAGACGGCACCGCACGGTATGGCACGGTATGGCATAACATGGCATGGCATGGCACAGCACAGCACGGCACAACATGGCATGGCACAGCAGTGCGGAGCAGCACAGCGAGACCGCACATGCGGGGGAGGAGACAGGCGAGAGAAGAGGGGGAACACAAACACAAAAGAAGATGACTGGGGAGGTGGGGAGCTGTGGGCAGGAGGGGAAACGATTGAAAATTGAGACAAGGGTGACAGCTAGCAAGAAACATGAGGCAGCGAGAGGCAATGAGAGAGGCATGCCTCACAAGGTGCTTGGGAAAGGCAGGAGTCAGCACGGGTGCATGCATGCATGCATTCGTCCATGAGGAGACGTACAGATTCGTGAGGGCGGTTAACGGGGCAACAATGGGAATGGACCCATTTAATTGGTTGTTCTGAAGCTGACTGTTTAATCAGCAAGGAAAGGGCACAGCGAAAGCGGGGGAGGGGTGAGTGTTTGGGAGGGAGGGGAGCTACAGAAGCAGCAGACTGCTGCGAGCAGCAGTGGAAAGTTGGAGGGGAGTGCAGTGAATGGTGGGTTGGATGAAGAGCAGCAGGCTCATACATCATGTGTGATGTGATGTGATGTGATGCAATGGGATGTGATGTGATGTGATGCGATGGGATGTGATGTGATGTGATGTGATGTGATGCGATGGGATGTGATGTGATGTGATGTGATGTGATGTGATGTGATGTGATGTGATGTGATGTGATGTGATGTGATGTGATGTGATGTGATGTGATGTGATGTGATGTGATGTGGTGTGATGTGATGTGATGTGATGTGATGTGATGTGGTGTGATGTGATGTGATGTGATGTGGTGTGATGTGATGTTATGTGATGTGATGTGATGCCACAGTGTCAACCGGCGTGGAATGAAAGCGCTTAATGTGTAGCATGCGCGACACAGAAGGAAACGTGATATGTGATGTTTGGATGAAAAGCAGCACATGAAGTGCATCCACTCGATCTGCGCCGTGCAATGCACGTGGTGCGTGCGTGCGTGTGTGCATGCGTGCGTGTGTGCGTGTGTGCAGCAATGAGCATACAGGTCTTTGAGGCGTTTGAGAGTCATGAGTGAATCGGGAAGGGAGCCGCTCAGGAAGTTGTCGCTCAGGCACCTGACAAAGGCACATGGCATTGGTTGATTGATTGATTGATTGATTGTTTGACGTTGTGGACAGAGACGGAAAAAAACTTGGTTTTGGTAAAAGGGAAAGGAATAACAGATCAGAAATCATCCATTCACAGTGAAGCTGACGTTGGCTCTGAAAATGATTCTGGTACTGACAGACATTGACAGTTGATGCTGACACTGACAGAGGGAGATTGAGCAAGCGTTAGAAGCGTCTATTTCTGGGACGTCCCCATAGGAGTATCAACAGTGAGAACCAACAACGCAGCATGCCATCATGTGCTCTACTATAGGTGCTGGGGTAGTGGAGAGTCGGGGTGATTGGAGAGGAGGGTGAGAGTGGGAGGAGGGAAGGAGAGTGAGGATGGAGAGTGAAGGAGGAGAGAAGGAGAGTGAAGGTGGAGAGAAGGAGAGTGCGGGAGGGGGGAGAGAGACACACACAGACACAGACAGACACAGACAGACAGACAGACAAACACAAAGACACTCACACACACTCACACGGACACACACACACACATGCACACGCAGTGTTGTCAGTAGTGGCACGCCGTCTTTCCACCTGCCTGTTGGCCCATCAGCTCACTCACAGGCTCTCCAGCTGCAGTGGACCACCAACGGCTGGGGGACCAGCCACAGCAGCCGTTGCCGCTCGGGATGCTGAAGGGCGGGCGAAGATCACCCTGTCTGAGCTCTGAAACACACTGCTCTCGATCTCCCCCTTCAGCAGGTTCCTACCCAGGTTCCTGCGCAGCGGAGCGCAGAATAGTGCAGCGCAGCGTGCACACACAGAGAACGCGCGGCATCGGGAGGGAGAGTTGTGGCGTTTCTCAATTGCTTGCCCAGGTAAGGTGACGTGCAAAGCAAGGGTATTATTGAACACAGCCACTGAAATGCAGCAGTTTTGGGGAGGAGATTTGTGCAAGTAAGAAGAAGAGAGTATTGCGATTTTCTCTCCGTCCGCAGGTTCCTTGGCAGGTTCCTGCGCAGGGCGCAAGGAGGGCGGCCTCTCTCGTCAGATCAGGGTGCTAGCCTATGTGACACACTCACAGCATCCGAAGCCAGGGCATGGCAACGACAAGGGGGGGGATGGCCCCTGACAGCTGATTGTTGTTGAGCCACCTGAGACGATGCATTATATGATCCGAACGGGAGCAAGGCAGAGGGGAGGGGATAACAACTCAGCAGCGCAGCGCAGCCACCCAGCCAGTACGCGGGGCTGGTTCAATCTGGCTGGTTTGCTGTGGATTGGAGTCGGTTTATCGGGTCCGTAGAACGGAAGGTTAGAACATGAGACCGGCATGAGCACGAGGGCCCCTTGCTGAAATTGTGCGACGGCCATAACCGGGCTGCAAATGGTTCGCGTCGGGCGGCGGCGCGAGGACTACCGGCCCCGTCCAGATTTTTACCGCTCGACCAAAAGATTGTCGGATTGCCGGGACGAACGGGATTCGGCGTCCCGGACCGCCTAAGCGAATTTCAAGGCCAGGCCCGGCCCCTACCGAAATCGAACCAGATCGCCCTGGGCCGAACCAGGTTCGCCCTTACGTTCAGGTCATGAACTGTCAAGCTGGGTCATGCAGCACAGCACAGCACAGCACAGCACAGCGCAGCGCAGCACAGCACAGCGCAGCGCAGCACAGCGCAGCACAGCGCAGCGCAGCACAGCGCAGCGCAGCGCAGCACAGCACAGCGCAGCGCAGCCCAGCACAGCGCAGCACAGCACAGCACAGCGCAGCACAGCACACCTCAGCACAGCACAGCACAGCTAAGCACAGCACAGCACAGCACAGCACAGCATGCACACCGCATGTAGAGTGCACGCATCGTGCATGGGAAGAAAGGCTTACAGGGTGTCAAGATTGACAAGAACGGAAAACGTCATTGGGATAGTGCCTGGTATGACGTTGCCATTCAAGTACCTGCACACATGCATGCATGTAAGAGCACAGCAGAGGCACCAGCACATGCAGCAAGACAGGTGAGAGACGGCTTTTGAAGTGCCTCAAAAGTAGTTGGGATAGTGCCTGGTGTATGTTGCCATTCAAGTACCTGCACAGATGCATACATGTGAGACCAGAGCGAAGGCAATGGCACAGATGAGAGCACAGGCGAGGGACAGATGAGAGCACAGGCGAGGGACAGATGAGAGCACAGGCGAGGGACAGATGAGAGCACAGGCGAGGGACAGATGAGAGCACAGGCGAGCGTGCAGGCAAGAGCACAGCGCATCATTCACTTGGCAAGTGGCGCCGGATACACGAAGCAATGCGCAATCCTGGATGGCTGAAAGGCAACACAAGCATGCTGTCACCAGATGCCTCGTGGGCTACTACATACATGCATGGACGGCCTTGCTGCGTGCACACATGCAGCTCAGCAAAATGACAAGTATGCCGATCTCTTGTATTTGACTAGAAAATGAGCAGGATGACGTGGGTGCGTGCAGTGGTGGTTGGTGGATTGACTGACAGTTGCTGGAGGGTGGTGAGGGAGAAGAGTGAGTCTGGCATGGCTGCCAGCCTGTTGTAGCCCAGGTCACTGCGAGCGACAGCACAGAATGGAGCCATGCCATGATACCACGGCCATGCACGCAGCATGCACACAAACACACACACTTGCATCGTCTAAGGGCGATCACGGCGCAAGGAGGAGAGAAGGGAGGGTTGAGATGACGAGGGGTAGGGGAGCTTGGGGAAGGGGGTGTGGGAAGGGGAGAGTTGGGAAGAAGCAAGCAGGGGGGTCAGCATGGGTACAGGGACGTCACACGTCCGCCCAAAAGAAATCTACTACCACCACGTGGTGAGGAATACGTGGGGAAGATTGCAATTGTAACGAGGTGACTTTTTGAGTCGACTCAAAAGTCACCTCGTCGTCAAACGTCCGTCCAAATACTACCACCACATGGTAAAGAATACGTGGGGAAGACGGAATGGGATGGCTCATTGTATGACATGATCTGATTTGATTCTTGAGTGGAGGCTGGAGGACACTGACAGGATCTCGATGAATGGCGCTCTGATGGGCCCAGGGGGGGTGATGCCCGTAAGAGCGTTGCTACGGAGGATCCTGTGTGTGAGTGAGGCATGAGTGAGGCAGGAGTGAGGCAGGAGTGCGGCAGGAGTTAGGCGGGAATGAGTGAGGTGAGGCATGAATAAGCATGCGAGGCATGCAGAGCACTTCATCGTACCAGCAACTACAGCAGCAAGCAACTGCATGCCTAGACATGCAGCACGACACAAACAGACATGCAGCACGACACAAACGAGCGTGCAGCACGACACAAACAGACATGCAGCACGACACAAGCGAACGTGCAGCACGACACAAACGAACGTGCAGCACGACACAAACAGACATGCAGCACGACACAAACAGACATGCAGCACGACACAAACAGACATGCAGCACGACACAAACAGACATGCAGCACGTGTCGTGAATCCTCCTCTGCAGACTCTCATTCTCACTCTCCCATGCGTATCCCGCTGATTCTCCCTTATCTCCTTCCTTCCCTACCACAGGTTCAGCCCTTCTTCCTCCTGGTGTAGGTAATCACCCTGTCCTGTAATCCTCCTGGTATCTCAGGCTTCCCTGAAGTCCCCGCACATCCTCTTCGCCAGTACCTTCCCCGTGATATCTTTCCTAGCGGCTACCACTGTGGCTGCGGCGTAGCTTGACTCTGACGGGCGGATAATCCCTGCAGCCAGCAGCTCTTCGCACTTCTCCTTACATATGGCTGCATCCTCTGCATTCATCCTCCTCCTGCGTTGATATGTGGGCAGCTCCGTGGTGAGGTTTAGCTCCAGCTCTCTCCCCTTATACCTCCCCAGCTCTGACAAGTTGTACGCGAAAGTGTTCCTGTGTTGCCGTAGTACCTCCTGAATTGCAGCTGCGACTTGCTCCCCTATGCCAGCTCCTAATTCCCAGTCTTTGCTTGGCTCTGCTTCCTTGCCCCCTGTGGTCCTGGGGTCAGCCTCCATCCCTGCCGTGGTCTTACTGAGAGCTACGTATGATGCTTGCTGGATGCATTGTCCCTGTTCTGACCCTGCCTTTCCTCTCCTGCTAGTCGGACCCTTTCTCATCTCCCTGACTAACCACCTCAATGTGTGCTGGTCTATGGCTCTGCCTAGAGCCGCTCTGCGTGCTGCTTCTCCCATTCCCTCCGCAGCTGTTGCCCCCGGCAGATAACCCATGGCTAATTCTCGTTCTAAGGCCGTCGGCTCTTCCCACTTCTTCTTTCGGTAGTCGTACACCATCCCTGGACCGGGTTGCCCATCCACCTCCACGAACCCCTGAGCCTGAGGGTAGGCTACCAACGTCGGCCAAGCTCTCCGTGCCTCTCCCACTCGGTTACACTGGTACTGCCGCGGATGATCTGGCTTCACCACTGGTGCGGCGACTCTGCCCGGTTCCAGAATGTCTTCCACTATCCGAGTCCCATCCCTCTCCACCCTTGCTAGTCTTGCCCTCAGTTCTCCCTCTGGCAGGACATTCTGCCAAAACTGTCGCACTCGGTGGCACCATGCCCCCAGCTGTGCGCCATCACAACTCACCCCCCTACCCAGTTCTGCCTCCACTAGCTCTCGTACTGCTCGGACTGGCTCCCGTGCATCTCCTCTCATATCCACATGCTCCAGTATGTAAGCATATTCTCCTCCCGCTTCTCTCGCCCACCTCATGATTGACAGAAGAGCGGATACCATGGCTGTACGTTCATCCTGCAAGCCCTTCCCCTTTCCTGCTCTGGAAGTGCCCTGGCATTCCCATCCGGCCACGAGTAAATCCACCTTCCCCCAGCTTCTCACATCTTCCTTGGTAAGCTGCCCCACGTCCCACTTTTTGTTCTGCATGGCTTCCCGTAGCACTCCCTTTGTCAGCTGCACTGGGTACTGCTGTTGTAGCATCAGAGCATGGTTCCACGCCATCTTCCTTACTTCCGGGTCTAACTCCACATATACCCACTTTTTCACTTTCAGTCCAGCTTCTAGTGCTGCTGCCAAGCCTGCTCCCAGCCCCCCGAACAGCTCCACCAAGGTAATACTGTACTGATCTAAGCTAGCGGTAACATTCTCCTTTTCTGAACTCCCTCCTCGCAAGCTCTCCTTCCTCCCTCCTTCTGCCCTCCAGGCTTTCTTCGGTTCTGTCTTAACGAATCGTACCGGCAACTCACTCAACTCCTTCCCTTCTTCCCGGAAGTCTGGGCGGTAGAGCACCTGTTCTTCCCAAGTACAAATCATGGTACCTATCTTAAACAGCAGCTCCATTCCAAGTAAGATGTCGTAGTCTTCTGATTCGGTCAGCCCACATTGCACTCTAATCTTCGTCTCTCCTTTCTCCCCGGGCCGTAGAGTGATCTCGATCGGTTCTCGCGTGCAGGGCATCCATTTGGGGGCCCCGCCGTCGGCTGTCATGATCAGTATGCCTTTGCTCACGATCTCCAACTCTCCCTGGGCCCGCAGCTGCTCTGTCAGCTTCTTTCCGATCAGCACGCTTTGTGCCCCCGTATCCACTACTGCGTTTTCCACCAGTATTCCCCGTACGGCTACCGCTTTGGGTTCCACTACTAAGGCTGTAGGCTGGCAAACGAGCCGTTCTTCAGGATGACGACGCGCTGTCCTTGAGCTTCCACTCCCTTCCGGCTGCCTGCTAATTCTCTTCTCCTGTTGTTTCTGCTCTGCCCTGCCGTCCACTCCTTTACTGCGCAGTCCCAGATCCCCTCTTTCCCTTGGTGGTATAGCCATCGTCCCATACTCAGGCTCTCCCTCATCAGACCCCTCTCCTTCATCATCCTCCCAAGCCAGCAGCGCCTTCTCCGGATCTTCGCTAATCTCTGCCTTCTCCATTTGAGCGTTCAGTTTAGCCAGCTCTCGTTCCAGCTGTAACTCCCTTGCTGATTTCCCTTTCGTCCGCTCTCCCTTACTGTAACATCTAGCTTCCGTATGTCCCCTCTTCCCGCAGCCGGTACATATTGGCGCCTTGGGGCAATCTCTTCTGAAATGCCCCTTTGCTCCGCAGGTGTCGCATGTTATCCCCACAGCACAATCCCTACGCAGGTGCCCCTGCTCTCCACATTTATGACAGCGCCTTGTATCTTCTGTCGGCCTGTCTCTTCGCTCCTCCTCTCCCCTTCTGCCCTCCACAGCTGCCCAAGCTGGCCTTCTTCGCTCGTTCGGCCGACTGGAACTCGACCCCTGCATGCCATCATAAAACCGCTTCCCTTCTTCCACTTCTTTCGCCACCTGGTATACCTGCCGCAGCGTGGCTCGTACTCCCAGGGAGTAGAGCCGGCTCCTCATGTCACTTATCAAGTCTTTATCCAGCCCGTTGACAAACTTAGTCACCAAGATACGTTCTTCCATGCAGCCCATGTCCTCCGCCAGCTCCAGCAGCCTGTTGTAATAGGCCAGCAGCGACTCTGGAGTGGCTCGAATGAAGTTCTGAAATTCTGCCATCCTGTCTGCCGAATGCCCCGGGAATTGTTCTTGCAGACTTTCCAAAAACCGGTCCGTGATCATCGCAGCTGGGAAGTCCCCTCTCTTATTCTGCATCAGCAGCCCCTGTCTCTCCACACGGTAATGCGTCAGCGCTTCTCCCTTAAGAGTCCTCCCCAAACCTCTGAAAAATTCGATGGGATCCAGCCCTTCCCTATCCCAGCAGTAGCGGATGTCGTCTATCATCATGAGGTAGTTCTTTAGCGTAGGCTCTTCTCCTGGCGTCCCCGAGAAGCGATCTGGCACCTCGATTTTCGGTGGTGCAGCGTTCATCGATCTGCCAGTTCCCCAGCTTGTCGCCCCCCTTTCTCCACTCCCAGCAGGCCGGCCTCCTCTTCCAGCCTCCATGGCTTCGTACACACCCGCTGAGAATCCATGATACTGTTCTCCTCCTCTCTGACTTCGCCGCTCTTCTTGCTGGTCGTCTCCTTCTCGCAAGCTTCGTCGTTCTTCATGGTGATCGTCTCCTCCTTTCTGACTTTGCCGTTCTTCGTAATTATCTTCCCCTCCCAGATCAGGAGGTCCTCGTCTAGGTCCAGTCCCCACAGGGCGAATTCCGCTTCCGCCTGCCGGTGAATCACAAGCTGAGCTGAGCGGTGGTTCTCTCCGTCCACTCCCTTCCTTCTCCCGATCCGATCCTTGATTACCACGTACGTTGTTATCTCCCTCTCCCGCGCGAAATCCAGGCATCCTAATTGGCGGATCACGCCCCTCCATCATCCTCGCAGGGAATCGGTGACCCGAGCGCAGTTGATGAGTATGAAGCTCCTGATCGAATTCACTCATGCCTCACGGCGCCTCACCATGCTCTACTCCAGGCGGTCAAGCCTGTCCCCTGTACTCTAGACAGTCGTAAGCAGCCTTTTTGCTTGTATGCAACAAGTCTAAACTCCCTCGCAAGGGCTCAGTCAGATTGCTGTTAGCTTCTCCTACTGCTAGTTCCCTTCGGATTAGGAAAGCAAATTGCAGTAAACAAGAAACATACAAGCAAAAAGCAACGAGTCTGAGCGCTACCCCAGTCTACATCCCCTCCTGCCTAGTTGCCTTGTCCCGCAGGCTACCTCTACCCCTAAGCGCGAGTCAGCTGAGCTGATCGCGTAGGCTTCAAGGTGCTAGCTGGGTCCCACTGGGCCCACTAGGCATGCACCGCCTTCCAGCCTGGTGAATGGCGAATTGAATTCCCAGGCTGGCTGGAATCGAATTCGCCACCAACCTCCTCATCAACCTCCTCGAAATCCTCAGCAGCTCGACTCTGTATAGTACAGTAACATTCCAAAGCAAGCACACAAAGTAAAAATGCGAAAAGCAGTAAACTATAGTACACCCTCACCTTGGCTGCTGCGAAATTCACACTTAGTTGCCGGCTAAGTGTTAATAACGCGACACACGACACAAACAGACATGCAGCACGACACAAACAGACATGCAGCACGACACAAACAGACATGCAGCACGACACAAACAGACATACAGCACGACACAAACAGACATGCAGCACGACACAAACAGACATGCAGCACGACACAAACAAACATGCAGCATGGCACAAACGAGCATGCAGCACGACACAAACAAACATGCAGCACGACACAAACAGTCATGCAGCACGACACAAACGAACATGCAGCACGACACATACAAACATGCAGCACGACACAAACAAACATGCAGCACGACACAAACGAGCATGCAGCACGACACAAACATACATGCAGCACGACACAAACAGACATGCAGCACGACACAAAAAAACATGCAGCACGACACAAACAAACATGCAGCACGACACAAACAAACATGCAGCACGACACAAACAAACATGCAGCACGACACAAACAAACATGCAGCACGACACAAAAGAACACGCAGCACGACACAAACGAACATGCAGCACGACACAAACGAACTTTACTATCACGTAGCAAGAATGGAACAGAAGGGCCAAGCCAAGACGAAGGCAGGCTCATTGGAGTAATAAAACCAGGCGAAGCAGAGTGCCGCAGCCGCGGTGCCTGATTGAAACAGAGAAGAGAGTGCAGTGGAGCAGCGCGAGCGCGGCGTAGCGTACAGTGTCTTGAGCACGGGCAGCGTGAGGAGCTTCCCTGGAACATCGCCTTGAAGCCTGTTGCTCTCGAGGCTCCTGATCATGGTTGCAGCAGCCCAGCCCATGGGCGTGGCAGGGAGGGGGATGGGTGGGGGAGGGAGGGGCAAGGGAGGGGAGGCTATGTGAAGAATAGACAAGAGCAGAGAGGCAGGGGGGTTGAAAGACAGGTGCACCTGGACTTAAGAGAGCTGTGAGTTGTTGACGCAAAGAGGAGCTTACACTGTGATCCAGGTCCTACAGTTGGATCAAGTGCCAATCTGCTGGCATGCACGCACACACACCCTCAACCCCACCCACACAGTTACCCTTGCACACCCATACTTACAGTTGCACTCACCAGAACACCCCCCTGCCCCCCCGCCCGCACGCACGCACGCATGCAGAAACACACGTGCGTGCCCACCCACACCCACACCTATCACACGCACTTGTTCTGTACAGGCAGCTGAACACTCATGCTCTAGCGCAGCATTTGTCTGGCTCATATATTCTCCCTAGAATCTGTTCCTCAATGCTGACTCAACAGGCGTGCACAGCTTACAGTGCTTCGAGATTGAGAAAAGAGGTTAGCTTATCCGGTATGCTGCCACTTATGTAGTTGTTCGACAAGTTGCTGCGGCCAGCCAGTGGGCAAAGGAAGAAGGGGGGAGGGAGAGGAGGATGGACGAGAGGGAGGAAAGCAGGATGTGGAAACAAGAAAAGGGATGTGAAACGAGGAGAGGGAGAGGCAAGCGGGATGTGGAGGGATGAGAGACGAGTGGATGAAGATGAGAATGAAACGAAGAGACGGACTGGGTTCTGAGACGTGTTAAGAAAGACACTGGGAAGTCGAGTGGGAGTGACCGAGGGAGAGTGAGAGAATGAGGGGATTAGGAGAGAGGTGAAAGAAGGCAGAGTTGAATAATGGACAGGGATGAATATTCTCAGTGCAGTGATGGTAGGGCGTAGATGTAATGGCACATGGTAATCCAAAGCACATGGCAGTCAGGGCACAGAGCGGCAGGGAAAGTGCAACAGCAAAGCGCAGCACAGTGCAACAGCAAAGCGCAGCACAGTGCAACAGCAAAGCGCAGCACAGTGCAACAGCAAAGCGCTGCCTGCCTGATATTTTCTTGACCATTACAGAAAAGCGAGGATGGGGAGCAGATGGGCAACAAGAACAAGCCAAAACCACCCCCCCTTTCTCCCTCTCTCCTCCCACTGCAATCTAGCAAGCATCAGCTGCTAAGTAAGTCAACTCCCTGGCGCCCTTATTAACCTCCGCTCCTGCTCGCCTCACTACAGCCCCTCGCTCCCTTATCCCAGACTTTCCTTCTAAGCAAAGCACAGGACTAACAGGTAAACAAGGCTAGGGAGGTTGAGGACAGAAGGCGGAAATGGGCCGGTGAGACCAATGCCAGAGGCGTTCCTGCCACGCAAGGGAGGGGAGATGAAATGAGATGAGATGAGATGAGATGAGATGAGATGAGATGAGATGAGATGAGATGAGATGAGATGAGATGAGATGAGATGAGATGAGATGAGATGAGATGAGATGATATGAGATGAGATGCGATGAGATGATATGAGATCTTGTGGTGCGGAGAGGGGCGAGGGGTGAGCCGTTTCGTAAGTACACAGGGTCAGGAAAGGAGAGGAGAGGAGAGGAGAGGAGAGGAGAGGAGAGGAGAGGAGAGGAGAGGAGAGGAGAGGAGAGGAGAGGAGAGGAGAGCAAATCAGAGCAGAGGAGAGCAAATCAGAGCAGCGGAGAGCAAATCAGAGCAGAGGAGAGCAAATCAGAGCAGAGGAGAGCAAATCAGAGCAGAGGAGAGCAGAGCGATAGAAATGGAGCTTGAACTGATTGATTAGAATATAAGGCACTAGGCCATAAGTACAAACAGAGTTGGGGTGGGGAAGGCAAAGGGAATGGATGGGTTGGGAATCTCAACCAGACAAGACAAGGTTGAGATAACAAATCTACACCCAACCTACAAACAACCTACACGATTAAAAATAGAGTACACAAATGTGTTGACAGCGTAATTCTAACACAGAGCAGATCAGAGCAGAGCAGAGCAGAGCAGAGGAGAGCAGAGGAGAGGAGAGGAGAGGAGAGGAGAGGAGAGGAGAGGAGAGGAGAGGAGAGGAGAGGAGAGGAGAGGAGAGGAGAGGAGAGGAGAGGAGAGCGGAGTGGAGCGGAGCGGAGCAGAGCAGAGCAGAGCAGAGGAGAGGAGAGGAGAGGAGAGGAGAGGAGAGGGGGAGAGGAGAGGAGAGGAGAGGAGAGGAGAGGAGAGGAGAGGAGAGGAGAGGAGAGAGGATTCAGAGCGGCGCCAAGGGGGGGAGGAGGGTGTGTACAATGAGGTGAGGCCAGTGAGTAGGCTGAGCTTGTTGGGCAGCGATGTGATGCCGGAGCCACCCAGCGACCTGGAGGAACCAAGAGGGGATGCAATGCAACACGCGATGCAATGCAACGCATGCCAAGGCATGGACGAAAAGGTGTGTGCGTGTGTGTGTGTGTGTGTATGTGTGCGTGTGTGAGTATATGTGTGTGTGTGTGTGTGCGTGTGTATGTGTGTGTGTGTGCGTGTGCGTGTGTGCGTGTGTGTGTGTGTATGTGTGTGTGTGAGTATATGTGTGTGTGTGTATGTGCGTGTGTGAGTAAATGTGTGTGTGTGTGTGTGTGTGTGTTCGCGCTCGCATGTGTGAGTGTTTGCGTGCACGCATGTGTGTGTGTTCGCGCACGCACGCGTGTGTGTGCGTATGCGCATGCATGCGTGGTTGCTCGCATGTGTGTGTGGGTGTGTGTGTGTGGCAGCTGGTGTGGCTGTGGGCGTGGCGTAGAAACTGCATCAGGACAGTGGTGAGGAAGTCGGTTGACACTGGGTGAATGGGGAAAAAGAAGCATGGGTGCACGGACGAGGTGCAGCACTGCTGGCAAGGGTTGGCGTGACGTTGTATGGGGTATTGTGAGGTGTGGGACTGCATGGGACGATGGCATGGTATGGTGAGGCATGGCATGGCATGACACGGACTTGGGTGAAAATCCAATTATGGCATGGTACAGCATGGCGTTGCATGGCATGACACATCACTGTGTATGGCATGTTAGTGTGGTATGACATGGCATGATATTACATGGTATGGCATGGCATGGCGGCATGGCATGGCATGGACTGACAAGTGCTTGAGGCTTGTAAAGGAGAGAACGAGAGGCAAGTCCTCAACTGTGCTGTTGCTCAGCCCTCTGAGCGCATGGCAGGGCATGGCAGAAACAGGACAGAACATCATACAGGATGCCATGTAGGGGGTAACAAGGTAGGGGGTGACATGGTATGGGATGAAATGGTAAGGGGTGACACGGTATTAGGTAGAATTGAGCAGTAGTTTGGTGCAGGGTCGAACCCCTGTTCGCTTCGACTCGAATTTCATTCGGGTCGAGGTTATTTTTATGCCCAACAAAGATGCTCGGCAATGTTGAAAGTGCTATGGGCGGACGCTAACTGTGTGATGGGCGATGCTAACTGTGGTCCGCGTGAGGTGACGGGGGCGATACTGACAGGAATGAGAGAGATTGCAGGTTTGAGATGGCGTCAGGTAGGGGTACCACAATTGTGTTGCCTCTGAAGTCACTGCGAGGAGGGAGGGAGGACGGGAGGGGAGAGGGAGAGAGGGACAGAAAGAGAAAGACTAAGAGAAATAGAGCCAGGGAGAGGCTTGAAGGCTGCTTCAGAGTGCTGTGGTTTCACCAACTGAGGCTGAGCTGAGAAATATGGGATGGGATGGGATGGGATGGGATGGGATGGGATGGGATGGGATGGGATGGGATGGGATGGAATGGGATGCGATGCAAAACGCAAAAAGAGAGCAGTAGTGACAAGGTGCATTGGGAGCTTCAGCGGCACATCACCCTAAAAGCACGGTGCGTGGGAGTGCCCATGCGAAGAGAAACCATGGCTCGCATGCGAGTGCTACAAGAACATGGAAAAGAGCGAGAAGTAAGGTTTCTGACCGCAGTTGGCCTTTCGAGGGTTCAAGGAAAGAGCCATCACTAGCAGGAAACACGAAGAGGGAGGAGGGGATGCATGGGATGGACGGGGTAAGAAAGGGAAAAACGGAGAATGGGGAAGGGGGATGGGGAAGCATGGGAGCAGGGTTCTTATAGATGCTATAGAGGCTCATGAGTCATAAACTAAGAGCTTTTATAAGTTTTTTTTTTTTTTTTTTTTTTTTTTGCCTAGAACAAGATGCATCATGAGCTTACAGATGTTCTAAGCGTGACATCAGTGTGACGTGCCATGGAACTGCACTTTCAAACTCGTTGTATGAGAGGTCCCTGGGGAGAGGGGGGGAGCGGACGGTGGGATGGAGATGCATGGAGGAGAGAGAAAACGAGAAAGGAGGAGTATGCCTTATGATGGGACTAGTAGAAGCACAAGCAACATCTTGATAGGGGGTTGGGATGGGATGGGATGGGATGGAATGGGATGGGATGGGATGGGATGGGATGGGATGGGATGGGATGGGATGGGATGGATGGGAATGGATGGGACGGGACGGGACGGGACGGGACGGGACGGGACGGGATGGGATGGGATGGGACGGGATGGGATCGGATGAGATGGGATGGGATGGGTGTCAACGGGAGTGTTGTTAGGCCCCGTCCTCGCTTGGGCGGAGCCAACTTTGTGGTCGGATGTAAGGGGGTTGCAACCGACCTGCAGCAGTGGGCACAGGGGCCACTGCAAGGGCGCCGAGCAGGAGGACGCCGTCGTGGACGCCTGGTTGGCGTCCTGGACGCCTGGACGGCGTCCTGGGAAGCTGGACGCCGAGCTGGGCGTCGCCACGACTACCCGGGCGCCTGGTCGACGCCGTGGGCGCCTGCACGGCGTCCTGGAAGGCCAGACGCCGACCTAGGCGTCTGCACGGCGTCCTGGGGGCCCGGACGCCGACCTAGGCGTCCTGGTGGGCCCGGACACCGACCTGGGCGTCTGGTTGGCGTCCTGTGAGGCTGGACGCCGCTCTGGAGGTCTGCTCGGCGTCCTGGGCGTCTGGACGCCGACCTGGGGGTTCGGAAGGTGTCGTGGGCGCCTGGATGGCGGACTGGGGACGCCAGGCATTGGTGGCCGGCTGCGGACTGTGCTGGTTGACCAGGCGTGGTTGCTGGGTCGACCGGGACACCCGGGCGACGTGCGCGAGTGTCGCCAGGGTGGAGTCTGCGAGGCCGACCTCGGGGGTGGTATCCCGAGGTCGACATGGCTGGTGGGCGCAGTCGTTGGCGTGGAGTCTGCCAGGCGTCTGCGCTGTGCACGTGACAGAGAAGTGCGCACCAACCAGCTGCGCGCACCTGCGAAGCAGGTGCACCGTTGTCCTGCGGGTGCAACGCTGTGCAGCTGACTTGCTGCAGCGTTAGCACACCATGGACTTGCAACGTTGGCGCACCGCTATTCTGCAACGCTGGAGCGGTGCGAGCGCTGCTGTGCTGGAGCGCAGTCGACCATGCTGCACTGGACGTCGACCAGCAGCCCAGCTAGCTTTGATGTAGTCAGTGTTGCCAATGTTGTTCCAATTATTGTTGTCAAATTTTCCAAGTGAAACTCTTGCCAATTCTCCCCGTGAACTAGCAAGCAGCGTGAACACAATGAAACGACTAAGTGAACGAACGCAGAGATCACACAAGCACCCGTGCCTAGCCTGTAGCCTAGCTCCCGTTGTAGCAGTTATCTCCGCAATGGGATGGGATGGGATGGGATGAGATGGGGATTAAAGAACTTGAACAATTATGATGGCATGGAAACCCATGAGGAGGCAGGCAGTGCGGTGCGGTGCGGTGTGGTGGATGCATGGATATCATGTGTGTGCGTCCACGTAAGTGACAACACGTGAGAAGAGGGTTGGGCAGTCAAATAAGTTATGGTAGGCTCACATGTATCTGATATCATTAAAATAGAAAGATGGCAAATCCTCGAAGTTGCCATCAAGCTGGTTGTGCGACAGGTCCCTGTTGCACTCATGTCGTATGGCGTGCCGTGGCGCCATGCAGTTAAAGAGGAGGGAAAGAAGAGGGAAAGAGGAAGCGAGGAGAAGGCAATGAGGATGCAAAGAGGAAGAAAGAGGTAGAGCGAGCAGTGGAGGCAAAGAGGGGACAACGAGGAGGCAACGAGGTGAAATAGATTTTTAGAGAAACAGGGCGAGCGAGAAGTGACAAGTGAGGCAGTTCCATCCACGGGCAGGGAGGGGATGAGAGCAGTTTCATATGATACGAACAAAGATGGGTTTTTGATTGGATGGGACGGGACGGGACGGGATGGGATGGGATGGGATGGGATGGGATGGGATGGGATGGGATGGGATGGGATGGGATGGGATGGGATGGGATGGGATGGGATGGGATGGGATGGGATGGAATCAGCTAGAGCACAGCAGCATTCGCAAAGGCGGGGAGGACGATTACACCAGAGCCCGAGAAAGGAATGCCAAGGCCTTGTCATGAAAAATGCATTGGCCTGGATAGGGTTGTCGTCGCCAGGCAAGGCAACACTACTGAGCCAACAAGTGTAACCAGAACAAAACAACTCTACACAAAAAAGCTGCGGTGGCAAGCGCAATGGAAAACCCCTCTGTGTGAACAATGGTTCTTAGCTCAACGTTCAAGGTGCAGGAGGCAGGCAGGGAGAGATCATTCAAGGTGGTGTGTGAAGCAAGGGAAGGAGAGTTCTCTGGAAAGAGAGCAGAGACTCACAGCACTTGAAGAGAAGTGGCGCCTGCGAGCTCTTCTGAAATTGATCCTTTGAGTTGGTTGCGGCTGACGTTGCTGCAGGATGGGCACGACGGCAGCAGCAGCAGCAGCAGCGGCAGAAGCAGCGGCAGAAGCAGCGGCAGAAGCAGCGGCAGCAGACAAGAGGTGCAGATGAAGCAGGAGGGAGATAGCCAGGGATCCCAAGTGATGAGCCGGGGTACAAGCGAAAGCACGAATAAAGATAAGAGAGAGCGCTATCGGGGACCAGAGTTGGAGATAGTCTAAGAAGGTAGCTTACGCGAAAGTGAGGAGAGAAAATCTGCCCAGAAAACCTGGGAAATTGTCAGTGAAAAGGTTGTTGCTGAGTGACCTGCAGCAGACAGACGGGCATGTAAAGAGGAAGGAAAGAGGCATCAGTTACCGCACAGGCCCTTCCTGCTGCCTCACTGATAGGCACCTGAGAGCTTGACTTGACACGGACACACACGCCAAAGGGGAGCAGGAAGGGTGCAGTGGGGAGGCATGCAGGGAGATTGATGGGGGGAAGAGAGAGAAGGTGGGGGGAATAGCTGAAGATTTTGTAAGAGCATCTGCTGGCTAGTCACAAGCAGAAGAGGAACAGATGCACCGAGAAGAGAAGCTCACGGGCGAAACACATGGATGGTGAGATCATGGGCCCATCAACACATGCACATTCGGGCATTTCCTAACAACAACAAACAGGAACGGAGAGGGAGCGAGAGAACGAGAGGAAGGGAGAGAAGGGAGTGAGGTGGGTGAAAACTTGAAAAGGAGAGAGGGAGGGAGGGAGGGAGGGAGGGAGGGAGGGAGGGAGGGAGGGAGGGAGGGAGGGAGGGGAGGGGAGGGGAGGGAGGAGGGGAGGGAGGGAGGGAGGGAGGGAGGGAGGGAGGGAGGGAGGGAGGGAGGGAGGGAGGGAGGGAGGAGGGGGGGGAGAGAGGGAGAGAGGGAGGGAGGGAGGGAGGGAGGGAGGGAGGGAGGGAGGGAGGGAGGGAGGGAGGGAGGGAGGGAGGGAGGGGAGGGGAGGGGAGGGAGGAGGGGAGGGAGGGAGGGAGGGAGGGAGGGAGGGAGGGAGGGAGGGAGGGAGGAGGGAGGGAGGGAGGGAGGGAGGGAGGGAGGGAGGGAGGGAGGGAGGGAGGGGAGGGGAGGGAGGAGGGGAGGGAGGGAGGAGGGAGGGAGGGAGGAAGGGAGGGAGGGAGGGAGGGAGGGAGGGAGGGAGGGAGGGAGGGAGGGAGGGAGGGAGGGAGGGAGGGAGGAGGGGGGGGAGAGAGGGAGAGAGGGAGGGAGGGAGGGAGGGAGGGAGGGAGGGAGGGAGGGAGGGAGGGAGGGAGGGGAGGGGAGGGGAGGGAGGAGGGGAGGGAGGGAGGGAGGGAGGGAGGGAGGGAGGGAGGGAGGGAGGGAGGGAGGGAGGGAGGGAGGGAGGGAGGGAGGGAGGGAGGGAGGGAGGGAGGGAGGGGAGGGAGGAGGGGGGGGAGAGAGGGAGAGAGGGAGGGAGGGAGGGAGGGAGGGAGGGAGGGAGGGAGGGAGGGGAGGGGAGGGAGGGAGGAGGGGAGGGAGGGAGGGAGGGAGGGAGGGAGGGAGGGAGGGAGGGAGGGAGGGAGGGAGGGAGGGAGGGAGGGAGGGAGGGAGGGAGGGAGGGAGGGAGGGAGGGGAGGGGAGGGGAGGGAGGAGGGGAGGGAGGGAGGGAGGGAGGGAGGAGGGAGGGAGGGAGGGAGGGAGGGAGGGAGGGAGGGAGGGAGGGAGGGAGGGAGGGAGGGAGGGAGGGAGGGAGGGAGGGAGGGAGGGAGGGAGGGGAGGAGGAGGGGGGAGAGAGGGAGAGAGGGAGGGAGGGAGGGAGGGAGGGAGGGAGGGAGGGAGGGAGGGAGGGGAGGGGAGGGGAGGGAGGAGGGGAGGGAGGGAGGGAGGGAGGGAGGGAGGGAGGGAGGGAGGGAGGGAGGGAGGGAGGGAGGGAGGGAGGGAGGGAGGGAGGGAGGGAGGGAGGGAGGGAGGGAGGGAGGGAGGGGAGGGAGGAGGGGGGGGAGAGAGGGAGAGAGGGAGGGAGGGAGGGAGGGAGGGAGGGAGGGAGGGAGGGAGGGAGGGGAGGGGAGGGGAGGGAGGAGGGGAGGGAGGGAGGGAGGGAGGGAGGGAGGGAGGGAGGGAGGGAGGGAGGGAGGGAGGGAGGGAGGGAGGGAGGGAGGGAGGGAGGGAGGGGAGGGAGGAGGGGGGGGAGAGAGGGAGAGAGGGAGGGAGGGAGGGAAGGAAGGTGGTGGTGCTGACAGCGATCTCAGGCTTGCGAGCTGTGTGAGTTGTTGTACTGGCAGAGCACCCAGAAACGCATTGTCGTTGAGGCGACTGATGGGTGAGGGGGGAATGAGATTGGGATTCAGATGAGATGGGATGGGATGGGATGGGATGGGATGGGATGGGATGGGATGGGATGGGATGGGATGGGATGGGATGGGATGGGATGGGATGGGATGGGATGGGATGGGATGGGATGGGACGGGACGGGATGGGACGTGATGGTACAGCACCAAGGAAAGAGTTAGAAGCAACAGCAGGTGGTAAGGTCTGCCAGTGCCACCAGCCAGAAGGAGAAGCTGCTCGCTCTACCTATTGCTGCTGCTCTCATGCGAATCACCAGCTTCTGCTGCTCACAGGTGTGCAAGATTGACCATGCCCTCCACGTTAAACGTCATAAGATCGCCGTCCAGCTTGTTGTACGATAGATCGCTGTGCCACCCAGACGGAAACAAGTGAAGAGATTGTGCAGGTGCGGCCGAGCAGGAGGGCGTAAGGGGTGGGGGAAGAGGGGGAAGGAGGGAGATAAGAGGGGGGGAGGAGGGGAGAATGGAAAAGAGGTTGGAGAGATGGAGCACATCAGGGAGTGACTGAACAGCAATAGCCCTCCTGTGCACGTACTCCTGTCGTGTTGCATACGGAGTCTGGTTCTAGGTAGGTGCTGTGGCTAGGTAGAGTGAGTAAGTGGAGTTTGTGGGTAGGTGCTCTATGCACGCATCTCATCTCTTATGTGGAGTGGAACGTGGGTGGGAAATGGGCCCAGGTGCACACAACAGGGGCAGCACGGGCATCGCACGCACAATGCACATGAAAGAGCAGCACCAGACCCACCTCGTTCTTGAGCAGCTCACACCTCGTCCTGCCTCTTCTTGCCACCACTGCCGCCACTGCCGCCACGCCACTGCTACCTGCCGCCACTGCTGCTGCTAACCATGCATGCACATGGCACGTGCTGGGCTTACAGAGCAGTGAGGCTGGTGAGTGAAGTCCACATCCCCGGCATGCTGCCACCCAGAATATTGCGAGAGAGGTTCCTGTGGCGACGCATAGAGAGAGGCAAGTTGGTGTGAATGGAGGCATGGAGGCAAAGAACAGATGGGGTGGGATGTTGATTGGAAACATAATGTCAAGAGAAGGGAAATGAGCAGTATCTAGCAGGCACAGGGATAGGAGTGATTGACGGGTTGAGGGTTGATGGACTGTGCTGGAGAATTCGGTTTGGTGTTCAAATCTCTCACGTACGTTCACTGACGAACATACAAAATAAGTGATCGATATGCTACACACGGGCAGCCCAGGCGGAAAAGAAGAAGTAACTCTTTTGTGTTCGGGCGTTTCCACAGAGCGTGAAACCCTATGCTCAAGTTTGAAATTCGAATGTAGCCAAACCAACCCCCCCTCTCCCCATACCCTCCCCCAACCGCACACCACCTCACACCACTCCCAAACCCAAACTTTACCAAACTTAATCAACCTCCACTCACTTGGAGGATTAGTATGAATGAGTAGAAGGGCCAGGAGGACAGGATGAGGAGGAGGAGGAGGAGGAGGAGGAGGAGGAGGAGGAGGAGGAGGAGGAGGAGGAGGAGGAGGAGGAGGAGGAGGAGGAGGAGGAGGAGGAGGAGGAGGAGGAGGAGGAGGAGGAGGAGGGGGAGTAGGGGAGGGGGGCGAGGGAGTAAAGGGCGTAGCCTCGTAGGTAGGGCAATGCTGGAGAGTATAGGGTACACTACTCGTTACAGGTCGGTACGGTACGTACCTTGTATTAGGTGCTGTGCATGAGAATTTGCGAACATTTAACTGAATCTAATATTTACATACATATATATATACTATATATACTATATATACATATACATATATATATGTATGCATGCATACATACTGTAAACTCGAATGTGACCAACAAAAGAAATCCCTCCACCCTTGGCATCAAGGTTTTTTCGCAGCTGCCGTACTTTCTTGTCCCTCCACAGCAGCCCATATACTGAAAATAGCGGAGCACGGAATTTAAGTGTACTGCATGTATTACAAAAGCACGATCTTGAACAAACTATTTGCAACACGTGTATATTCCAAGTTCCAACATAGGGTGGGAAGGCAAGATAGGCGGGAGCAGTGGACTCACAAGGTTTTGAGGGTGCTCAGCACAAACCATGAGTCGGGAAGTTCTCCAGAGAATAAATTGTTGCTCATATCCCTACCATGGCATAGGCACACGCACAGGCACAGGCACAGGCACAGGCACAGGCACATGCACAGGCCAAAGGGCAGGGTCGAGAGTATTCAGTATGGGACCAAAGACGAAAATGATGATGTGCACATGGAGACAGACAGACGCCCAGACAGGGTATTCCAGACAAACAAACACAACACCAAGGCAATCGAGGAAGAGCGTTAACTAAGGCTCGGTTCAGAAACTACGAGGTTCACCGTTCACGCACAGCACAGGTGCTCCAGGCCCATGAACAGGCTGTAGTCACGTGGTAGATTACTATTAGTCGGCTCGTACATATTGGAGTGTTAAACTAAGGTTTAGTTTGGACGGTGAGGCTAAGCTAAGGTCTAGGTTAGGCGGTGAAGTTCACGCACAGGTGCTCCAGGCTGGTAAACTTGCTGTAGTCAAGTGGTAGAAATCCATAAATCTTGTTTCCGGAGAGAGAACTGCCGCGGGGAGAGGAATTAGGGGATGGTGCTGTGCTGAGGAACGGAGGAGAGGAGATTCAGTTGTGTTGGTCGGAGGAGCATTGCTGAACGAACGCAGACGGAGAGCACTGTGGTTGAACTAGCAGCAGCACGCATGCATGCATGCGCAAGAACACACCCACACACACAGGCACGCACGCACGTGCACGTGCACACACACGCTCACGCACACACGCAGAACATGCAAATAAGCGAATTCTAGCACGCAGTCACGCCCGCTCGCCCACCCCCACACACGCACGCACGCACGCACGCACATATGCGCCAGCGAAGGCCTCTCACAGTGACTTGAGGGCTTTAAAATTAGTGAAGTCCCCGCTCAATGGCCCCAACAACTGATTCCTCTGCAGGTTTCTGGCGAAAAGAATGAGAAGGCGAGGGAAAGCAGAGCAGGGGAGCAGAGCAACATACCAAGCAGGTGTGGGAGCAGGTGGTACTACTGTTTATTTTGGAGCTACTATTGAGAATCATCATAAGTGAAACCAATGCAGGTACGACTAGTGAAGCAGCAGCAATAAGGAGCAGCAGCAGTGATAGGAGGCAAGGCAACTTTCCAATCCAAAGCAGAACTGCCCGTCCCGTCAGGGAGTTCCAAGTCCCAAAAACGACCGAGGGCACGAGCATTTCGGGCATGGGATCAAAGCCAAGCTAACCAAGCAAACATGTAGCAGCGCATGGTGCAAGCAAGCAAGCAAGCAAGCACCATCAGAGGCCGTGGTGGTGGTGGGGCATGGCATGAGAGCCGTCATGTGTCAAACACAGAACCGTACGCACATCTGCTGGAGGTAGCTAGTGCTGCCAAATTCCGTTGACACAGCCCCTTCGAATTTGTTGTAACCCAGATCGCTGCAGGCACGCAAAGGCAAAGGAAGGCCACGCCACAGACAGTACTGCTGCTCAGTAGGCAAGGCAAGCTCGTACCAGGTTGCATGACCTTAGCTTCGTGACTGGACAGGACAGCCAGCCTGTTGTGAGGCTGGGTTAGCTGCCAGCCATGCCATTCCACACAGGCTGACCCTGACCCAGCCACGGTCCGTCAGCCTGAATACTTAAACGAATTGCGGGCCGGCTCGACCAGAGCATGGCTCACAAAAAATCATGGGCCTTACTCTTTTTGGAATGATGTGTGAAACATAAGAAGAAACCTTGTTCGATTGAACTTGGAGTGAAATGATATTATGTCTCAGGGAAGCGCCTGACACAATACTAGACAAAGGGTGAAACCAAGAGAGCCCAGGCCTGACCCAGCCCAGCCTGTCTTGCGCCATGCGTGGCTCGTCATGGTGAGGGAGTAGGAGCAGGTATGGCAGGTAGGCAGGTAGGCAGGCAGTGCATGAAGAGGGTAGACAGTGGGGATGAGCGGCGAGCGAGCAGGGGGGCCACGGCTCACATGGTTGTCAAGAGGGTGAGAGTGGTCAGCACCGGTAGCATTCCCGTGAAGTTGTTGTGAGAAACATCTCTGCCATGCAGACAGCAAAACGGAGTTGAAAGACTCGGCAGCAATCCTTCCTAGGGTTACGGCTCACCACAACTATCCTGCACGCAGAAATATGCTGCACTCGCTAAACAAGGATCAGCCACCGTTGTTTGGTTGCATCAACGAACAAATGAACCAACCAGCCAGCCGGCCAAGCAGCCAGTCAGCCAGCCAGTTACTGAGCCATCTAGATTGCTACTCTAGCTTGGAGCCGAAACAAGGTCCTCTGAAATACATGGCTACAGCGCAACAGAAGGGCAGCAGGGGAGAGCATGGCGCATCAGAGCAAGCGGAGGAGGAGGAGGAGGAGGAGGAGGAGGAGGAGGAGGAGGAGGAGGAGGAGGAGGAGGAGGAGGAGGAGGAGGAGGAGGAGGAGGAGGAGGAGGAGGAGGAGGAGGAGGAGGAGGACTGACAGGTGCTGGAGAGATGTGAGGGCAACGTAGGCCTGAAGGAAGTCGCCTGAGATTCTGTTGCGACTCAGGTCCCTGTGATGGCGGGGGCCAGGGGGAAAACCAAGTGACAGTGTGGGTGTGAGGGTGGGATGGTGCGAGGGTGGGAGGGTGCGATGCGAGGGCGGGTGCGTAGGTGGTGGTGGTGGAAGTGTTGTGGAATGTGGTGCTTGAGAGCCAAAGATCCTGAGCCATCCTTTCAGGAGCACATCAGTCCTGAGCCATCCCTTCAGGAGCACATCAGTCCTGAGCCATCCCTTCAGGAGCACATAAGTCCTGAGCCATCCTTTCAGGAGCACATCAGTCCTGAGCCATCCCTTCAGGAGCACATCAGTCCTGAGCCATCCCTTCAGGAGCACATCAGTCCTGAGCCATCCCTTCAGGAGCACATCAGTCCTGAGCCATCCCTTCAGGAGCACATCAGTCCTAGGCCATCCCTTCAGGAGCACATCAGTCCTGAGCCATCCTTTCAGGAGCACATCAGTCCTGAGCCATCCCTTCAGGAGCACATCAGTCCTGAGCCATCCCTTCAGGAGCACATCAGTCCTGAGCCATTCTTTCAGGAGCACATCAGTCCTGAGCCATTCTTTCAGGAGCACATCAGTCCTGAGCCATTCTTTCAGGAGCACATCAGTCCTGAGCCATCCCTTCAGGAGCACATCAGTCCTGAGCCATCCCTTCAGGAGCACATCAGTCCTGAGCCATCCCTTCAGGAGCACATCAGTCCTGAGCCATCCCTTCAGGAGCACATCAGTCCTGAGCCATCCCTTCAGGAGCACATAAGTCCTGAGCCATCCCTTCAGGAGCACATCAGTCCTGAGCCATTCTTTCAGGAGCACATCAGTCCTGAGCCATTCTTTCAGGAGCACATCAGTCCTGAGCCATCCCTTCAGGAGCACATCTGTCCTGAGCCATCCCTTCAGGAGCACATCAGTCCTGAGCCATCCCTTCAGGAGCACATCAGTCCTGAGCCATCCCTTCAGGAGCACATCAGTCCTGAGCCATTCTTTCAGGAGCACATCAGTCCTGAGCCATTCTTTCAGGAGCACATCAGTCCTGAGCCATTCTTTCAGGAGCACATCAGTCCTGAGCCATCCCTTCAGGAGCACATCAGTCCTGAGCCATCCCTTCAGGAGCACATCAGTCCTGAGCCATCCCTTCAGGAGCACATCAGTCCTGAGCCATCCCTTCAGGAGCACATCAGTCCTGAGCCATCCCTTCAGGAGCACATAAGTCCTGAGCCATCCCTTCAGGAGCACATCAGTCCTGAGCCATTCTTTCAGGAGCACATCAGTCCTGAGCCATTCTTTCAGGAGCACATCAGTCCTGAGCCATCCCTTCAGGAGCACATCTGTCCTGAGCCATCCCTTCAGGAGCACATCAGTCCTGAGCCATCCCTTCAGGAGCACATCAGTCCTGAGCCATCCCTTCAGGAGCACATCAGTCCTGAGCCATCCTTTCAGGAGCACATCAGTCCTGAGCCATCCCTTCAGGAGCACATCAGTCCTGAGCCATCCTTTCAGGAGCACATCAGTCCTGAGCCATCCCTTCAGGAGCACATCAGTCCTGAGCCATCCCTTCAGGAGCACATCAGTCCTGAGCCATCCCTTCAGGAGCACATCAGTCCTGAGCCATCCTTTCAGGAGCACATCAGTCCTGAGCCATCCCTTCAGGAGCACATCAGTCCTGAGCCATCCCTTCAGGAGCACATCAGTCCTGAGCCATCCCTTCAGGAGCACATCAGTCCTGAGCCATCCCTTCAGGAGCACATCAGTCCTGAGCCATCCCTTCAGGAGCACATCAGTCCTGAGCCATCCCTTCAGGAGCACATCAGTCCTGAGCCATCCTTTCAGGAGCACATCAGTCCTGAGCCATCCCTTCAGGAGCACATCAGTCCTGAGCCATCCCTTCAGGAGCACATCAGTCCTGAGCCATTCTTTCAGGAGCACATCAGTCCTGAGCCATTCTTTCAGGAGCACATCAGTCCTGAGCCATTCTTTCAGGAGCACATCAGTCCTGAGCCATCCCTTCAGGAGCACATCAGTCCTGAGCCATCCTTTCAGGAGCACATCAGTCCTGAGCCATCTCTTCAGGAGCACATCAGTCCTGAGCCATCCCTTCAGGAGCACATCAGTCCTGAGCCATCCCTTCAGGAGCACATCAGTCCTGAGCCATCCCTTCAGGAGCACATAAGTCCTGAGCCATCCCTTCAGGAGCACATCAGTCCTGAGCCATTCTTTCAGGAGCACATCAGTCCTGAGCCATTCTTTCAGGAGCACATCAGTCCTGAGCCATTCTTTCAGGAGCACATCAGTCCTGAGCCATCCCTTCAGGAGCACATCAGTCCTGAGCCATCCCTTCAGGAGCACATCAGTCCTGAGCCATCCCTTCAGGAGCACATCAGTCCTGAGCCATCCTTTCAGGAGCACATCAGTCCTGAGCCATCCCTTCAGGAGCACATCAGTCCTGAGCCATCCTTTCAGGAGCACATCAGTCCTGAGCCATCCCTTCAGGAGCACATCAGTCCTGAGCCATCCCTTCAGGAGCACATCAGTCCTGAGCCATCCTTTCAGGAGCACATCAGTCCTGAGCCATCCCTTCAGGAGCACATCAGTCCTGAGCCATCCTTTCAGGAGCACATCAGTCCTGAGCCATCCCTTCAGGAGCACATCAGTCCTGAGCCATCCTTTCAGGAGCACATCAGTCCTGAGCCATCCCTTCAGGAGCACATCAGTCCTGAGCCATCCCTTCAGGAGCACATCAGTCCTGAGCCATCCTTTCAGGAGCACATCAGTCCTGAGCCATCCCTTCAGGAGCACATCAGTCCTGAGCCATCCCTTCAGGAGCACATCAGTCCTGAGCCATCCTTTCAGGAGCACATCAGTCCTGAGCCATCCCTTCAGGAGCACATCAGTCCTGAGCCATCCCTTCAGGAGCACATCAGTCCTGAGCCATTCTTTCAGGAGCACATCAGTCCTGAGCCATTCTTTCAGGAGCACATCAGTCCTGAGCCATTCTTTCAGGAGCACATCAGTCCTGAGCCATCCCTTCAGGAGCACATCAGTCCTGAGCCATCCTTTCAGGAGCACATCAGTCCTGAGCCATCTCTTCAGGAGCACATCAGTCCTGAGCCATCCCTTCAGGAGCACATCAGTCCTGAGCCATCCCTTCAGGAGCACATCAGTCCTGAGCCATCCCTTCAGGAGCACATAAGTCCTGAGCCATCCCTTCAGGAGCACATCAGTCCTGAGCCATTCTTTCAGGAGCACATCAGTCCTGAGCCATTCTTTCAGGAGCACATCAGTCCTGAGCCATTCTTTCAGGAGCACATCAGTCCTGAGCCATCCCTTCAGGAGCACATCAGTCCTGAGCCATCCTTTCAGGAGCACATCAGTCCTGAGCCATCTCTTCAGGAGCACATCAGTCCTGAGCCATCCCTTCAGGAGCACATCAGTCCTGAGCCATCCCTTCAGGAGCACATCAGTCCTGAGCCAAAGATCCTGAGCCATCCCTTCATCAGCATATCAATGCTGGCGCACAGACAGCATGGGACTTGACTAAGTGGACACAGCAGGCACAGAGCACAGCACAGCGTGGGCTGGTTGGGATGAATGAATGTGGTGGTCGCCCATTCGGCTCGGACAAGCATGGTGGTAACTGCTTTGGGAGAATGGTCTGATATGAGCATGGCTGAATGCGGACTGGCTGGCAGTCAAAAACCACGCAGAGTGCAGCAGCAGGACATGCTTACCAACAAGTGTGTGCGTGCATGCACTTCGGGCAGAACAGAAACCATTCAACATACAGCATTGGATTGGCGCCACTTCTGGTATGGTCTGAGGGTCTGAGCTGAGCTGAGAAATCTCCAATGTTGCAAGGACGGTGTCAGTGAGTCCTAATTTCTGGACTGGAGGAGAGGAGGAAAGAAAGATCTCATGGAGAAATCTTACGACGGGGAGATATCTTACAAGTGGCGCAGGGCTGTGAGTGAGGTGACAATGTCTGGGTACGCAGTGATTCTGTTGCCACTGACATCCCTGCCACAAATACGCACGCATGCAGAGTGTTGTGCCAACAGCACCAGCACACATTTGCCACGGCGCCACATGCATTGCATGCGGACACATGGAAACAGCACGCGAGCAACAGCAACAGTACTCAAGTGGTCCCTCTCAAGCGTGCACGCACTCACACACATCCATGTAGGTTGAGCAAGAATCCGAACCCATGTTCGGTTTGACTCGAATTTGCTTAAGAGAGAGCATGCTCAAGTGTTCAGGGTTGGATTGACTTCCCCAACAGCACTCATGGTTTCGCAAAGACAAAGAGGGGGTGATGAGCTTGACAATTTACACAGCCCCGTATGTGAATAACAAAATTAAGGCTCAAACCGAATGTGTTCGGGTCGACCAGTTACCTGTTCGAATGGCATGGCACACCACACGCAAATGTTCACCAACAGTCGAGTCCAGTTGACGTCCAACTCGAACAGCTGAACACTATTTCGAAATCACTTTTGAGAATTCTCAAAAGTGATTTCGATATAACTCGAACAGCTGAACACTATTACTGCAAAGACTCTCCAACCGAACACGTTCTATGCGAGTAAAAAAGATGTCTGAAACTGTTCAAGGCCAACAGCACAGCTTCGAGCTCGCCTTTTGCGAGTGTCTTGTCTACATCTATGCACATGTGTGCAAGAGAAGGTGAGTGAGCCGACAAAGGGAGCGTGCTGCATGGACATAGCAGATCAATGCAGGTGTGTGCACAGCGCACGTGTCAGTTTTTGAGAATTCTCAAGCGCGTGCACACACTTGCGCCTAGTATGTGTGAGCATCTGTGCATATGCACGCATGGAAGGTAATCCACCGGACACTTACAGGTGTTGCAAGGAGGGGGAAAATGCGGAAACAATGGGCGGAACCTCTGTGAGCTTGTTGTTGCCCATCTTGCTGCGTGCGTGCAGTGAAAAAGAGTCGAGCGTGTTGTGTTGTGTTGTGTCAGCGCATGAAGGGATGGGTAAGCACTGTGAATGTGATGTGATGTGATGCATGCATGTGAATATGATGAAAACATGGAAAACACTCGGAAAAGGGACATGGAAGACGCATGAAGACACGGAGAAAGCAAAATATATGCATGTCACTCACAGAGCCTTGAGCTGGCCAGCATTGGCTGGAATGGCTTGTGAGGTGATACCGACAAAGCCATTGCCATTCAGGTTGCTGGCGGGAAACAGAAGAAGAGAGGCAGGGAGTGAAAAAAGGCAAACGTTAGATTTCCTGGGATTCCCGAAACACCAGGTTTCCAGGCAGAGAGACAGGCAGGATGAAGTGTCAGTAGTAAGGCAGAATGGGGAGGGAGAAAGCACGCCGACGAGAGCGATTTGTGATGGAGGTATGGTGATGAGAGGTAGGATGATGAGAGGGATGGTGATGAGAGAGGTATGGTGATCAGTCGTTTGCTGATGAGAGTTATGGTGATGGAAGGTATCTGGTGTGGTGATGAATGAAAGGTAGGCTGGCAAGCAGAGAGGCATGAGACGTACAGCTCTTGCAGGGACGACATGAAGAGTATGGTGGCCGGAAGACTCCCTTTGAAGCTGTTGTCCGCCAGGTTTCTTCCATGGCAGAGTGGATGGGCGGCATGTTGCAATGCGATGAGATGAGATGAGACGAGATGAGAGCACAGACTCTGTGCCACAGAGGCAGAGAGCGGGCAGGACTGTTTCAGGAACCAGTCTCGATTGTAAAACGGCCTGACAGAGAGGATCAACATTTTCGACAGGCGGTAAAAGTGCCACGCCGCTGCAGGAGCTCTGAGAATGGAAGGGAAGGGAAGTGCCACGTGAGGCATGCATGTGGCGTACATGAGAGAGGAGGTGGTGGATGGAGATTTCAGCATCACTCGTGGGTGCAGGTTAGTAGTCAGCCCAACTCACAGGGTGGTCAGTGTAAACAAGTTGGTCAGCTGGTTGGGGAGATTGGGACCAAGACGGTTTCCACAAAGACTCCTGAACGGCAGGAATGGGAATTGGTGCCCGTGGGTGAGCCATAGGACAGGCAGAGTTAGTGCAAGTATAGGTTGATGGTCATACTTACAGACTCGTTGTGATTGGACTTGTGTATGTGTGTAACCAGTGCCATATCAACACAAAGGAATATTAGGAGAGCAGAGAGGGAGAGGAGAGAGAGAAGAAGGGGATCCTTGAAGAGAGGAGATAAGGGAGAAGGAGAATGTCGGTCAACAAGTCGCACTGTGTCACCTGGATGGGAGTCGAGTCACTAAGACAGATGCATGCAAGCACGCATGCATGCTCTGGACCTCCCTTGCAATGCAACCCAGACAAGACTATCGTCACATTCCTGAGGCGCCTCAAAAACGATTTTTGAGGCGCCTCAAAAATCGTCAAGACTATCGTCACATTCCCCAGCCCAGCCGTCACATTCCTTTTCAGTCCAGATAATCGAATCAATCTGCGCTTTGAGAACACACATGATCCTAGCGGGATGAAGAAGGGACAGTTAGGGAAGGGGAGGGGAGGGGAGGGGACACCATTGAGAACTTACAGGTGCACAAGTCTAGTATACGAGAAAACAGGAGCCGTGGGGAAGGCACCAGCCATTTGGGTGTTGCACGCATGCCTGACCCGAGGACAGATGGGCACATGGGAAGATGGGCAGATGGGCAGATGGGAAGATGGGCAGATGGGGAGATAGGCAGATGGGAGGGAGGGAGGGAGGGAGGGAGGAAGGAGGGCAACGAGAATGGCAATATAGCAGCATGCATGGACAGCTCATGGGCAGTTGCAGAGAGCAGCAACACCAGCACCTCTAGCTGCCCTAACTGCGAGCCATGAGCAACCAACAAGAGACGCAATGTGCTGTCCAGGAGTCGAGAAAAGAGGGGGCGAGAAGAGAGAAGGGGGCAAAAGCAGGGAGAAAGAGGGGAGGGGAGACGAGTGTGTACAGTGCGGTGAGGCCAGTGAGGAGGCTGAGCTGAGTGGGTAGCGTTGTGATGGGGTTGCCACTCAATGACCTGCCGTGGAAACGAGGGGATGCAAGGGAACAAGTGCAAATGTGCTGACAGTTCGGAAACGCGCAAATGGGCGCATGCAAAGGGAATGGATGAGGGAGGATCATACGTATGAATGAACCACAGCCACACAGTGGGCCTTTTCAGGTCGGTGGGTTGAATGCTCGCACAAGTGTTTTTTGAGGCGCCTCAAGAGTTGTTCTTGCAATCAGAGCTCTCTTAGCTCGGTAGTTCTTACTCCCTTTCTTTCTTGCTAAAGTTTTTCTCTAGTACTGCTGCCCTTCCACCATGAGTGAAAACGATCAGTGGGCCTTTTCAGGTGGTTGAGTGCTCTCACAAGTGGTTGAGTGCTCTCACAAGTGGTTGAGTGCTCTCACAGGTATTTGAGTGAGGAGACGGCTGAGAGGAGCAGCACGTCGTCGTCAGTGAAAGAGCAGTTGTCCAATTTGCTGCGAGGGGGCGTGCACAGCAATGGGATGCAGTGGAGTTTAATGGGATGGGATGGGATGGTAAGGGATGGGATGGGGCAGAAAAAAGGAAGGGACGGGATGGAGATGGATCAGATGGGTTGAATAGGATTGGACAGGACAGCTTGTCATGAAACGTAAGAGGAGAGTACGACAGGGGAAGACAAACGTAGGACCCCACCAGATGCAGCACGCAGCACACTACTCTTTAGAGATCCCTTTCTCTGTCTCCGCCCAAGCTCCCCTCCCCTCCCTCCCCGTCCTCTCACCATCCCCTCCCACCCAACAACCAGTGGAAGAAGGAGCTCTCACGAGCACATGGAGCTCACAGGAAGGAGATTTTCCTGCCCGCGGCAATGGAGCTTGGTAGATGATTCAACATCATGTTGCCACCCAAGTCCCTGCAAGCAGGTATTAGAGTCAGAACGGTGAGAGCATGACACGGAGCAGAGGGGCAAGAGAGTGGGAGAGAGTGGGAAAGGAGTGGGGTAAGAGAGTGGGGGAGAGATAGCAACGAGGTGAGCTGTTGCAAAGACATGAGGACGATGGGGAGCGGGGCCGAGTGGGCAGGCACGGCTGTGAGAAGGCTCTTATTGAAAGCCTCGTGTGAGTGAGGTGTGTGAGGCGATGATGTAAGGGAATGATGTGAGAGCGGTGCTTGAAGGAATGATGTGAGAGCGGTGCTTGAAGGAATGATGTGAGAGCGGTGCTTGAAGGAATGATGTGAGAGTGGTGCTTGAAGGAATGATGTGAGAGCGGTGCTTGAAGGAATGATGTGAGAGCGGTGCTTGAAGGAATGATGTGAGAGCGGTGCTTGAAGGAATGATGTGAGAGCGGTGCTTGAAGGAATGATGTGAGAGTGGTGCTTGAAGGAATGATGTGAGAGTGGTGCTTGAAGGAATGATGTGAGAGCGGTGCTTGAAGGAATGATGTGAGAGCGGTGCTTGAAGGAATGATGTGAGAGCGGTGCTTGAAGGAATGATGTGAGAGCGGTGCTTGAAGGAATGATGTGAGAGCGGTGCTTGAAGGAATGATGTGAGAGCGGTGCTTGAAGG